GTACAATCGGCCTATCATTATTTTCGAGCTAGTACAGACCTTTTCTGCGACATCCAGCTCAAGAGGGTACAAAAAAAAGTGCACAGGGTACATTCAAGTACTCAATGAGTACAATCCAAACCAACAAAAAAAAGTTAGATTTTTCAAACTTCGATGCCAACTTCACATAGCTAACTGACGTACCGAATAATTAAGGTACAAACGATCCAATGGACTTGCATTATGATATCGTTATCGCGGATAACACGGTGGCCTGTCATTCGGATGAAGCATCACTTCTATTTTGCAGCCTTAGTGGAAAGCGTAAACAGAAACCTCACAAAGTACATCTCGTGACACATTAAACACACTGCCTCCACCGCCCTAACGATAAATCATGGTCTGAGCTTAAAGCCACCAGTGTTGCTAGCTAATATTTTTTCCCATCCCTTGCACAGGCCCTCACCAGGATGGTACACAACACCCAACAATTACCATCCACCACCGTCTTTTACTAATAAATAATGGTTCATTGTAGCGGCACGTATTCTCTGATGTTCCTTGGCTTTTTACTCAGGCACATTATACCTTTTCGAATATGAAATGCCATGGAAATATAACCTCATGTCTGTTTCACGGTGGATGAAACTCGTTGAAAGCTCAATTATTTCATTTTATCGTGTACATTGCTGGTGTCCAATTCAACAGACACTATTCAGAATATTCTGCTCGGAATGTCATCGAAGGATGGGACTAAGTCGGAGGGAATTCGATGGAGAGCGCTTAATTCGTCTTTTGGAGAACTCTATCGTCGCCCATTTATGATTCTCTGTACATTCGCTCGATCCGAGATGATCAGTCAAGAATTTCACTAGAATACCGTTCTCTCAATTGTCAATAAGCTTTTGAAATAATTATCTAGTCTGCTGCTGAAACCTCTCCTCCCACACTGTCATTTACGGAAATTCACGTTAATTGCAATCCCCTAATTTAATCAATTAGTCAGCTCTGATAATTTCGCAAACCCTTCACCTGCTGAAAATTTCCTCCTTCTCGTTCCCTTCCAATTTTCTCATCATCCGTATTTTATTCATATTAATGAACTTTAAATTCACACCCGTCTGTGAGATAATTAAAAAGGAGGGATGTTAAAATATGTGTTCCAATGGATAATGACACAGACTAATGACTCCCATCTTTTATAGTTAATTAATTTCGGTATCAGTCATTTGGACATGATACCACACACTATTATTCATATTCAGTGTGAGTAATTCATATGAGATGAATTATTTTACGATTAATTAAAATCCTCTGATCATTCCGCTGAATATTGTCTTTTTTTACGATTCAATGGAAACAATTGTCTTGATTGATTACAATTATTCCCAACAAAGCAGATTGATTTTTTTCTAGAAAATTCAGTGATGCGAAATACGTACGGACCGACATACTTTTTGTCCCCATGATAAAAAACTTCAGGCAATAATTCATGAGTTCTGTTTGGAATGGGACTAATTAATTCCTCAAATATATATAACACAGCTGGAAATTTGATTAAAGCTCGGCCATTGTATCCTCTAATTCTTCAATGCACGTTTGCCAATATAAGGATTATGCAGATTTGTACGGTATACCCCCTGACCGGAAATTAAATGTACTATGAATTACAGAGCCTCATGAATTCTTCAGTGTCTACAAAATTTGAAATATGTTTCAGTACTAAAGTTCATGACTTTGTTAGGGAGTTATTCCCCTCATATTCCCGCCTGCATACTGCACAGTCACTAAATGGAGGATATAAAAAGTTTTGGCTACTTATCACAGTTGGCCAGGTTTATGGTAATAATGTGAATTGCCACATGGATCAACTGTGATTGCCATGCCACACATCCTCAGATAAAAATTGAAATATATCTCATTAATTTTTAACCGCAATTTGAGTATTTCAAAATCTCTAATTATATAAAATAATTATACAATAAATATCAATGGAATTTTTGATATTCCACGGGGGAAATCATGGAAATCATGGAAATCATGGAAATCATATCGCCCAGAAACGCAGGTGCATTCCGTAAAAAGGAGGTTATACTCGACATAGGAAACGTGAGGCAATCTTAACGAATTTTTAATGTTTGTAAACCCGGATAGGGTTACCAGCACTAAAGGCTATAGATGGATACGTGGTTGGTTGGCACGATGTCCACGCGCATCCTTGAATTATTCAAAGCCCCAGACGAGGGAAATGCAGTTCGGTCTGTTCAATACTGGCTATTTCCTGGAATCATGCTGCAGGGTCTGATAAAGGTCACGAACCTGCCCTGTACTGTGCCATTTTCTAATATTTAGGGTAGCTTCTAATTGAAAACTCATTACAATGACTCAACCCACCGCACGCCATCATGAATTTATACATAATAACTGACTCAAAAATTATCTCATCGTTTTCAATAAATGGTTAACAAATAAAATAATCAGAAAGTCTCTTTGAAAAAATTTATAAATCTGGGAAATTTAGGAAATAATATTAATAGATGTTTATGTTGATTAGATTATGTTTTTCCTGGAGTTCGCGGATTATTTCTGGGGATTAATGTTTACATATTTTTACAGGTCGTCAAAGCTGCCAGTCCGGTGTTACTGCGAGTCATACTACTCGGTGCATTTTTCATTTATTGCACGGTAAGCAATTAAAATTGTCAGTGTTCAAACAAAGTTAAATTCCGCAAACAAAACTCTGTTTTTATACCCCAAGAATTTTTACCTCTTCATTTCTCGAGGTAACACTTAAAATTTCATTGAGCACATGATTACTCTTATCAAGTAATTACTCTTATCAAAAACATTAATATATTTTACGATACATCATTAAAATTTTCATTCGGTTGAAACTTCTCGGGTAGATTGTTTCATTTTAGTGTCATGAGTACGCAAATATCTGGAAATTATTTATTTATATCGGAGGAGTTGAAGAGAGGAGTAAATGCGGTTAATTGATTTGATAACTTTAGGTACGATTACCAATTAGATGATCAGAGCGGAAACCGGAAGTCAGAGTGGTGCAAACTACTAATGTTTACTGTATACCCGAGAACATATATTCGGAGAATTGCCAAGTGCCATTTCCGTATCCAAGCAACGAAATTGCACCGGACGCGAACACTGATACTGTAGATTACCTTCTAGGTGCCTCTCGACAATTTTGTTGTTTCACAAGACAAACTTCGGGAATGGTCACTTTATATAACTTATATAGTACGTTTCTACGGGTATTGTCTTCATAGCAGATCAGATTTTCCCACAAATGAGGAATCATCAAAATGGGATGGGAATTTTATCTGAGAATTATTACGCGAAATTATTTGTCTTATCTTCGAATAGCTTATGACCAGATTTACAATATTTAAAATTCAGAAAAATTCGATTTCTTGTGGTGATTTTTCAGGAAAATTGTCTTGTCGGTGGTTTTGCAATGAAAATTTCTATTTTCATGCTCATCGTAACAATTCCACATCATATAAAATGGAATTGTCAATCAATTGAAAATTCCAGGAATTGCTTGACGTTTCCATATTTTAATTTTTTTATTTTTTCGTTATTTTTCAGCGGGATATTAATCTGAAAATTCTCAATCACTAGAACATTTCAATTAACTGACCCTTCAACGCAGATTAAACAGAAATTTGATATGACTCTGGACGTTTTAAATTTTCGACATTCACGAAAAAAATGGAATTACAATTTGATCGAGAAGCATAAGAAGAGAGATCACATTTTTCAGGCATTTTTTTTTTAAATAAAAAAACTCGTAGTTTGCACTGAGAATTCATGATGGCGGAGGTATGTGGATAATTTTTACAAAATTATTTCAGACGATCGTTATGTACCCACGACCGAATGTAGTCACCTGCACCATACGTGTCTGGCTCCGGGAAATCGGTTTCTCTCTCACTTACGGTGCACTGATGCTGAAAACATGGAGGTAAGTGACTTAGAATTTTAATGAATTGCCCATTGAGTCACCGTTTTCATAGGCATTTTTCTTGCCCTCGAGTATTCGAATGAGACTTGCGTCCCTATGAAAATTCAATGAAGCACTTTCATTTGATTTTTTTTAATTCAGCATTCCATCTTGTCCTATCAGAACAGAAAATTCCTTGCATGAACAGAAAATTGCCTCAACATGATATTCTTCCTAGGGGGAAATAATAATTTTCCAAGTGAATAAGTTAATTCGAGAAAAGTTCGAGCTGGATTATTTGATGTGAAATAAATGAAGGCAAATTCCCAGCAGCCATGAAGGATCAAAATAAAATAAATAATACCTGTTCTAAGAGACTGAAATCTTACAGCTTGTTGTTTCTTCTATATGTATGAGACAAGAGTACCATAAAATGGCCAAAAAGTTGATAAAAAAAAGCTTCATCTCCCAGAATTGTGGTGACTACGGATTTCTCCCCGTAGATATTACCCGCTGCGCTAAAGAATTCATGTTTCCTCTGAAATTTAAAGTCCCTCTTGCCTTTTAGATTTTCGGTGAAAAAACTCTGACAGCCAGCAGGCAATTTCCGCGGTTCGCGGCACTACATATTTTTCACAATGTTTGCTATCATATTATTTCACTCTCCAGACAACCAAATGAAAGAGCGAGTATCGCCATTATTATTAATCTTATTTGCTAATAAAATTCATGGGCATGGAAAATCAGGATATTTATTTAACAAAATTTATGAATTTATGAAAATTTATGACTCGATGTATTTGACGGGAGCTCAACTGATGGAGCTCAACTGATTTTATACTTTTGTTGATTGAGGAGCGTCGACAAATAATGTCATGCCTTGACATTTTCTTGTTTGAATTCGTTTGATTTGGACAGTTGACTTTGCCGCTTGGTATTCATAAAGCCAACGCCTGAGGCATTGAGATTTTCATCAGGCCAGAATGAAAAAATAAATTCTCAGTCTGCGAGGAAATATTTTTCCACCAATGACCGAGCTCTATGATAAAATTATAGAATTTACGAGACTTGGAGAGAGAGAGGAGCATTGTGTTGTAGTGCGAACATTGGACGTCTTAAGGCTTTCATAAAAAAAAAAGTGGCACGTACAGAACTTTCAAATGCAAGAGATAATGCATATTCAGATTTCATGGGCTTTCATAGTGGAATATATATTGACAATATTCTGGAATACTGTTTTTTGAGAAAATCCTCGGCAAACTGTGAGTCCATTCTGTGACACATGGCGTTATAATAAAATGAAAATAAATCTCTCAGATTGTTGGGGAAATAGATAATTGGGATCGTGAGGGATTTCAACCTCTGATTAAATGCATCGGCATCATGGAGATCAGGTGAACCTCAGAATATCAATCGTCGAAGTTGTAAAAAGGCATTTGTTATGGGTAGCATTCCGGTTCGCTTATTTATTAAAGTTCCTACCGAGTTTGCAGCCAAACTCGACATACTTCTGACACAGTCCACATTCATACTTGTTACAAAACTTTGGTGAGACCTTTGGTGGCACCTCACGCTGACGATGCTATTGAAATTCTAAATTAATTTCAAGTAATTCACCAGAAATTTTGCAACTGGGAAATAGGACATTCAATAAAAAAAAACGCAAACTTTGGACAAATAGAATTGAAATGAAATTTCTCCTCTCTCTGGGGGCCGTTTCGATCAGATGTTACTTCAATCTGATGAAAATACGGGCAGTAAATACGTGCAATGTCAGCTTTACAATTACGAAGCTGAAAAATCAATCTCCATTGGAACATGAAAAATCCATTTACGAAACAGCAGCCCTGCTGACAAGCATTTTAACCCGTCAGTATCGCCGCAAGAATACAAACCAGTGGAAGTTTTTAAAAAGAGTAAAGAGATTCGTATTATGGTGAAGCTGATAGAGCAGTTGGTACATTTCCATTCTCGACAGAGATCGATAGGGCAGGGGGCAATCCTTCTCCTTTCTTCATTTCAATCTTTTTCTTTTCTCTCCTTTTGCTCGAGACTTTTCCGTGATATCCGACGACTCTATAGGAGATTTCCCAGTAGAGATCAGCGGATATTCGTACTTAAGGTACTTCCGTTTGGTGATCGTACTGGGCGATTTCAAATCGTGAAAATATTAACTGGAAGACGCCATTTTCTCGCCGCCCATCGTTCAGCAAATGGAATTTTTTAAACATTCGCCATTTATGAACAACAATTTCCGACGGATTTGCAATATAGGGGAGTGGGCAATTCACAACTATGGAATCATTTTTTTTTTTAACCAATCAATTCAATTAATCAACCTCGAAATATTAATGACTTATCCTTTACCTGTAGTAGAAGTCAATTAAAACGGATCGCTACAGCAATCACGGGAATTCCATGCAATCAGGATTTCAGGGTTATTAACAATTAGGTAAAAGTTAACAAACATTATGTCAGAAATTTATTAATACCAGGAATGTAATTTCCCACAAAGTTTGCAAAGTTAGTGGCTCTGCCGATTTTGCCTAGGGGCAGTTGACCATCAATTAGTTTCCGCAAACTACATTACTGCTAAAATAATTGTGTTGGCTGTATCCATTCCACAGCGAAATTGACGAAAGATGAATTTCACGTGATTATTGTGATTATATATTTTTCCAGATATTTCGCATTCAATTGATCCCATGTGAGTTGAAGACTGCACAAACAATACTCCTGCCGGACTATCTATTGAGAATTCCCCTCGTTCGCGAGATTGATTTAAGAACGGATGGAGCAGGGGGAAAGAATAAATATTTTATAAAGTATTATTTTAATCAGAAGGAAATCCTATTATTTTCAAGTACCGGGGGTTTTACTGCTGGCAAAAATACAAATCGTTGAAATACTCATAATGAAAGTAAATTCGGTTCTTAGTAAAATTGAATTTCTTCAATTCCACAGAATATCTGTTATATTTCGGGTGAGGTCAGCAAAAGCAGTTAAGATAACGGACATGAACCTGCTGAAACGGCTTGGAATAATAGTCACGATATTCAGTGTATTCCTTGGAATTCGTACAGTTGTGGCGCCTCCGGTTGTTATCGTCGGACGTACTGCCGATGATCTCAAAGCATATCTGTGTCAAACTGACTGGTGGGATCACAGCTTTACAACACGTAAGTTTTATCAATCCCGTATAAATCATCCCCCATGCATAATTCATTTTTACAACCGCTATTATTTTAAACTGATTTTAATCCATACGCGGTTAAGAGCTGCTATTCTATTACTCACGAATGGGAAATGATTCTCACGGAGATATCATGAATTGAGGTTTGGGGCGGTGAGCAACAAGTGTTCTCTATAGAATTATTGATTTCCGCAAAACGATTGAAGGCGAGCGTATCACACCCTATCACTACCCCCATTATTGTTAGTCTCATTCCAATCATCATTCTTCCCACTCTTTCATTTTTCTTCTCCGAAATTCCATCAATCGCCGATAATGATCGACACACCAATATCAAATATCATAATTCAGCGTTTCAATTAATTTCATTATTAAAATCATAATGGAATACGCACGCTATGGAGGAAAGTATTGATGATAAATGATAAAAGATAAAAATGATAAATAAAAAAAGGGTAGCCCGTGATATTTTATTGAAATTCCGCAGAACGAGGAATTTGAGATGGAAATGATTTCGCTGTGGATTTTTTTTTTCTCATTTACATTCACAGGTGAATACACAGGGCTATCGTGATTGAAATATAACCAAGGGGTAAGGATTAATTAAACAGACGGGTTATTAGAAGGAGAAAATATTTCATCAAGAGAATTGTCTTATAGTCGTAAAAAAATGTTAAAAATACTGAATCATCGAGATGGGGTACTGTTGTAACGAGCACGAACGCTAATATTTTTCTTTCATCAAGTTCTCCATGATAAAAACTAGACTGTCCTGTACTTTCAGTTGAAGTGATGTTCCTGGTGTGGGGTATAAGACTGTGCATTGTAGTCAGAAAAGCACCATCAGAATTCAACGAGAGTCGTTTTATCTCGATGGCTATTTACAACGAATTTCTCTTGTCTGTCTTCCTAAACGTGTCAATGTAAGTAATAAGACCATTTATTTTACATTCTTTAGCCTCTCAATTTTCATTCATTATTTCAGCAATAAATTTATTAACAAAAATGCACTCACGCACGAGGACAATGGGCAACTAAATGCTATCCCCATTTACTGTAGCCACAAAAGCCACGAATAGAGTATATTTGCTTTGGTACTATTTCCATGCTCAGTGTTACCGCAGGAATTTTACTCTTGGTAATGCCCCGCTGAGAAAATGGCTGAACACATTACATTCGCGCTGAAACATCCGTATGGGCCTCTTTCCTGCAGGAATGTCGTTCATTCACGTTCGATATAAATTATATCTGATTTCAGTGAATACACTAATATATGCGTTTAAATAAATAAATAAATTCAAAAGATCTCCGGAATTTTTAATATACAGTAGACTTGACGGAAATTCTACTCTATGTAATATATTCTAATATATTTTAATATATTTTAATAGATTTTAATATATTTTATATATTAATGTGTTTCAGGCTATTTCTTCAGTCACCTGCCAATCCAGACTTATTGTACATTATCTTCTTCTGTCACACGCAATTGACCGTAACTCTGCTACTCTGTTTGATATTCGGTAGCAAAGTAAGAAGTAGTTCATGATTTATATCTCTAACTCGGTCAGAAAAAATTTAGCTCATTAAGATACTTTGAATTCTTAATTGGATAACATTGGTTGTTGATTAATTGGGTGAAAAAAAATCTGAGAGTTGAATTACAAAGTTTGCATCCATTCATCCGTAGGCTTACGTCGTATTTCGTGGCGGTGGTAAGGAGGACACAATTGGAAAGCTTCCAGGTACCACTGGCAAATTTATTGGCAAAACGTGTCGGGCACAGAAGGCCACCAACCAAACCAACTCAATTTCCTTGCAACAGGCTAATTTTACGGAGGAAGGAGACGGTATTATGGTAAGAAAGCTTTACAACATCCACAAATCGATTACGCACTTGATTTTTTAAAGTAAAATATTTTTTAATTATTCAATTTTAATTAACTTGTAATAACGAAGGGATTAAATATTCGGTAATTAGTGATATCTGGATAATCCTTGAGTAGTGTAACTCCAAATGTGAATGCCTATTAATTCCACTGGAAAACAATCGATAAGTCAATGAAAGAAGAGTGAGAGGTAGTGGAAAGACGAAGAACTTGAAAAAATGAAAAGCACACGACTAATTGGCACTCGTTAATGTAATTACAGGAGGAGTTTCGACGTCTTTATGCTCAACTCGAAATACTGAAAGAGAAAAATATGCGCATGGGTAATCGACATCTGACAGCAAAAATATTGGCCATGCAGGAAGCAGCTAACCGTGCTGAAACCCAGATATCCACAATTCAAGCTATCTCCTCGACCCTGAGATTAAACGATATAAGTGTCACAACCGTTGAAGAATCCACTCTACTCTTCAAGAGCGGAAGTGAGTCAGGTGTTGAGAGTTATCGCGAGACGGAAGCCAGAAATGGTAAGTCAAAAAAGTTATTATGTCAAAAATCGACGGAGAAAGACAATTGTCAAATCTCCGATGAAGTGCCATCAACTTCCAAGGATAAAGACAATGACAATGACCAAATTTGTGATGAAAAAATTCACGATAGTGCTGAGGATAAACAGAGTACCGGCGATTGTGAAATTAATGAAAATACTTTGGATAATAATGTCTCGTGCACTGGGACGAATAATTGTGAAGTTGGTGTAGCTGAACCTGAGGAAAATGAACATTTAGAAATTAAAAAGTCAGATCATCCTCCTACACTTCCCATTATTATAAATCTTGATGATAACAGCAGGTACTCGGAAGAAGTGATTGTTTAATTTGTGAAATCGAGAATCATCCGGTTCTTTTAAATCTACTCGTTTAACGTGTTTCATTTACAGAGTGGCTCAATTATTATTATTGTTTGGTAATTTTAGTATTCCGAGTATTTCAGCTCAAATAAAATTACGCAGGATATGGAGATGAATATTTTTATTTTTCAAGTGTATCATTACTCAGTACAACGCTTCGGGGCTTCAGTAAAAAATTTCATGGATTATTATTGAATGTACATTGTACATATAATGTATAGTTCACTATCAATAACTGGAACACCTTTCTTTTTATATCGTGCTTCCTAGCGAATATTTTATTCGAATAGTAAATGAGGAAAATAACTTATTAAGACATCCAGCGGCTTACGAAGAATTTAACGTTCTCTCTTGTGATGATTAATAATGATTAGTAATTAATTAATTGATTTTGGTCGATATTGGAGAAATTGTATGGGCCTCATCTGGCCTCATCTGGCCTCTGTGAATATTAATGTACATACGCTTATCATGTACATAATAAATAATACTTCAATTATCAGATATTTAATCTTAATGTACTTGCCGGATTCTTCAATAAGTATTGAAATTAACACGGGTTCATAGATTAGGGGACCTCGAGCAAAATGGATCGATGAAAAAAAAATTATAATTCACATAATTCATCATGATAACGTCCGCAAAATATATAATCCATTTTTGAATATATAGAAATGGTTAATGCAAAGGTAAACAGTAACGGAAAATCATTTAGTTGAAGACAATATTATCTATGAAATTTCTGTTAAATTCTCAAATAGCAATTGAACAGAAAAATTTCACCGGTCCATCTTGCCCCAGTCTCCCCTATGTGTTAATTTAATTAATTTCTGATGTGGATGTACAATTGTATATATGGGATTAAAATTTTATGGAGTTGTATATTTTTGCTGAATAATACAATGGAGGGGTGAATCGAGGAAATGAGCAAGCTTTCATTCGTGGTACAATAGATGGATTCTCTATAGATAGCCAATTGAAGGAGAGAAAAGAGATCTTGTCTTATTACGTTTGAACTGATGAAAGTTTGTTCTCCTTTCTGCCTCAATATAAATTCCACGAGTTCCAGCGTTTTCTCTAATTCATTGGATTTCTGTACATATAGATTTAAATCGTGTAATTTACGATTAATACCGTAATAACGTGCATGCATCGAACCGAAAATATTGAAATCTCGTACATTTTAACTTGATTTGAGTATACGAATAGATTAATTTCCAGCGTAATGTATATGCATGAATTGAGAAGGGAATTAATCGATTCAAGTATATATTTATTTGCGTGTACAGGAGGATAGGGGTATTTGTTTTAATGGGAATTCAGGTTTATTCAAGGTCACGGTCACAATGGGTACCTTGATCTGAGCCCCAAAAAAGGGATCCACTGCGATTGTTATTCTTTGAAAAATGGAATGGAAATCAATGGGTGATATTATCAACTGATGCTCAATATAATTCACGATTTGTTCGACCTGTTTTCGATGTGGTGATCAATTTTTTTGTCACTGGCAACAGCTTTCGGAAGATATCAATTCAATTTTCTCATACTTGAGGTATTATCAATTTTTATGATACATTGTGAGCCCACTAAACCAACAACTTGCTCGAGTCCCGATGAGACTCGAGTTTTCAATTAAAGATTGCATCTTCAGATTGTAGGGGAGAACGTAAAGAATTCTACTTGCAATAACGCTGCGACGAGTTTTCCAATCGATAGGATAAATTGGGGTGGCGTGCAAGACTTTTAAAGTATCGGAGATAATGAGAGATTACTGTTACAATGGGTAATGCACATTTTTTAAAATCTTATTGCGATATGAATTGTTGCGTAGATGAGAAATAGTAATTGAAGAGTCAATTTGACGAGAAAAATGTACATTGCGTGTGAATTTATTGCACTTTGGCGAATGAGAATCCATAGTTTTTAAAAATTGCTCATGTCGCTAGTAATAATAGCAATTATGTGTAAATAACGTGTATAATATATATAAGTTTGTGTGTCAAAGTGTGGGAATTGGTTATTAATTGAATAATACATTCACATTGGTTTTTCGCTATATCAGAGTCATATCAAGAGCACAATTACGTGCACACTATTATTCTTCCTGCATGAATTTACTTCATCATTCTATCTATTGAAAATTATATCGCCGGAAATAATTGCAAATGTCGGCATAATTATTTTCCGGGACAGTATACACCAGAAACGGCGAAACATGTGTTTAAAAATTACTGCACATGAATAATTATATGGAATACTCCAATAAATGGATAAATATGTAAATCATGAACGGCTGTAATATTCAATAAAAATTAACATGTACGCCACGATCAGATACGATGCAATGGAGCGGAAAGAGTCACGGATGGATGGAATCTCTCTAAAAAAAAAAACACCTATCGAGTGTCCGAAGCGATGAAAAAAAATGTATTGTCATGTGATTATCAAATGTATCTCCAAACTGATTGTATGATAAGATAAATGTTATGGGTTATGAATAAAATCCACAGATGTGTAACTGACAGATTAATCATCTGCAGAAAAAAATTGATATCGATTATTTCGCGTTTTAATTCGAGGAGCTGTAAATATAATATTCCATGGCAACCATTGCTATCTTAATTAATTAAAAATATTCAGGAATGCATGACTTCATCATTAGTTTTTCCTCGTACAAAATATTCTGGAAATATTATTTCAGAAGAGTTAGTGAGTGGAATAAAAATTTCAACTCATTTTACTCGCGAGTATGAAAGCGGAAAATATATTTTAGCCGATTGTCATTGATTCATCGAGTGAAGAAAGTAGTCAAATACACGTGTGGAGATTTTTTTATACGGAACAGTTAAATAATATTTATGTGGAAAATCGCATGATATAATGTTACGAGCAAGTTCCAGTAGTAAAGTATCGATATTCACCAGCCATAAAAACTTGTTCTGTCTGTGCCAAATATTTCGTATCAACTTTAACCAAGTTGAAAACTGAGTGGGAAGCGTATATCCTGAGATATCATCGATGTGAAAAAAGAAAAACCGATCGAGCACCCAGAACCTCAATTTCCTCGTCGCTTCAATATCAATATTTTTCCGGAAAACCTTTATATTTTCTCCCTACATTGGAAGAACGATGAAAAAAGCCCCTGGCCTGTGCTACAATGCGGTAATTACTTTGCGTCTTTGCCGACATAAACACGAAACTCGCCACCTCATTATTCGACGCGTCGTCTCATTCCTCTCAAAATTTAATTAACAAATACTCATTAAAAACGATGAAAAACACAATGTTGGGCTTTAATATACCGCGACCTTTCGAGCATCCAGTCTTACGCACGGAGAACCGAGTGTTGTTGTCTTTAACGAAGAGTAAAACAAGTGTTCTGTCATGACATTGTTCTTTCAAGATTAGAAATACTTCAACTCCGCTCTGTCGGTCTATTTGTTTTACGAAACCGAAACAGCAAAGGGTTCAGCAAAAAGCTTTAATAGTCGCCCTGAGAGAAAAAAAAATTTATCAAGTATTTACACGATTGGGCATTTGGTATTTTTTTTTTCAATTCAAGTCCAAACGTATTTTCACGCTTGAATATAATTCTCGTATACTTTTGATATCGTAGCTCGATCACTTGCGAATCGAATTCTCGAAGGCATAAATAAATGAACGTTCAGTGATATGTATTGGCAATTCCGTGGAAACACCGATTCGCGTTGGAAATTTCAATTAAGTACATCCACGTTCAGTCGAAGCTTTCATTCCTCGACGAGCGAGAATCAATGAAAACATAATGGTCCAGTTACTCCAGAGGCATTAATAATTAATTTGTTTCCATAGTTGGCAACTGAACAGCCTCATAATTACAATCCTGCGTTTTAATTATAGTCGAAATTCGAGTAACTTGCGTGCACGACCGACTAAAATTACTTTTCAAAATCAGCGAACAAATTAATATTCATATATAATCATAAAAATATACCAAGTAAAAAAATCATTGATTAGTCAATAATAAATTAATGAAATGAATAAAATTGAACTCGACATTCGTTAAAAATGGTGCTAGCACTTGAAATTAATTACTCTCGGAAATGTACAATCAGCAATCACTGCATCTGGTATTGGTGACGGTATGAAACCATCACGAAACGACTAATTAAATTAACTACGTTGTAGAACATGTGGAGTGGGATCTATGGCGTTGGGATTTGCCACAATGGGATTATGGATAAAGCGAATCGATATATTATGAGACGTACTTGTGCACTAGGGGATATTTATAGCTTCAAGAGATGCCAATGACGTATGTTCAAGACAACGTCAGACCGAGTGCATAGGATAATCTACGAGCTCCGTAGATCGTTTGGTACCTTCGGCTCATAGAATCAAGGCGTTATCGTATGAAACGCATGGGAGAACCATTGAGTCGACAGTGAAACGATAAATTTAATATCCACACGATGAAAAGCACTACTTCAGTGTCTAGGGCTTTCATTTATTTTTTTTCCTTCAAGTTTATCGGCGCTTATGGTTTCTAAGGGGATGTTAAAGGGCGCACTGAAAAATCGAGCATAAATGACATGGAACGTTAGTAGTCGGTGATTCGCGTAATATTCACCGGTAGCCATGAATATTCACACTTGAAATTATTAATGGATTTGTAATGGTATTCGTCAATGAATAGTAATAATTCACGGCAAGTTTGAAATCTTTCAGCCTTTGTAATTTTTTTTTATTTCCCATCGTCAAGGTTTTCTGAAAAGACAATAAAAATTTGATGGTCATTTCTTACTGTCGTCCCTACTCTTATAAATTTCTGTTTTCAACGTATAAATCAGGGGATATTAAATACATCCGTCCGGTTTTACGATTTACCGCATTATAAGTCACATTACGTACAGCTCGGCATAATATGCTGTTTACCGTTGAGCGATAAAGCCGTTTTATGCCGCAACAGTTCATCTCAGCCCCACTGAAAATTTTTTCACCTTTGTTATCCCGAGAGGAAAAAAAATTTATTATTCCAAAGAATTTGGCGAGAGGGTAACAAAGTGCTCTCGATAAATATTCAACGTACTTGCTATCTAACGAGCGTGATAAATGCTCTTCCTTCTCAACTGGGAGCTTGAAATACTCAGGGAATTACACCAAGTGCACTCATGACTCGGTGGTCATCACGTACGTCGGGTCGGCACCTGACTAATTATCTAATATTACTCTCGTAAAATGAATTGCAGTCATTACACACTGCACACCTCAGCTCCGATATTTTCTAATTCTCCGTTTTCTCGTAACTTCATTCGAGTGTCTCCTCACAAAGAAATTATATTTAATCAAAATGACACCCCAAATCCACTAATTTTTTCACAGTAAACTTTCATTTCAATTCCATTCATGGCAAATCTACGATATACTTTTTCCCCGTTACCCACCATTTTTTTCACCTTGCAATCTCAGTGGAGAACTCTTCTGATGTAATATTCAAGTATTCATATTACTTAATCCTGCGTCTGAAAGGGAATTTTTTCACCGAGATGAAGAGATACTGTATTAATCTGGAGAGAGATAATTCACTTTTATAACTACGAAATTGTTTGCCAGAACTTTCATGATAAATGGTTGATTAAAACGGATGCGGATTAAAATTTACGAGCTTTGCAATGATTGTTTATTTATCAATTCGCATTTCAGGTCGACATATAGCCGAGAACCTACGGTTCTTTCTCAATTCCTCTCATTCCAATTCAACTTCCTGTCAATACAAAATTAAAATGGCATAACAACGAGTATTCAGCAGTCTTGATGAAGTCCCTGAGTAGCTGTTTGTCCAACTGTAACAATTCCCGAGCATTATCAACAGTTTGTACAGTGCATTGACTAACAAGAAAGTTTCATCGGGAAACGAGGAAAACGGAAAATCGTTTTACAGTGTCATCAACGATTTTCGTTAATTGTTTCAGGCTTGCGGGAGCAAGAATCAGGATGAAGAGCTTTTCCAAGTGAGATAAAGATATATTGTTGGTGCATCAGGATAAACGTTAGTGCAATTTCCGGAGTAGAATTGACCAACTGTTGACTGAGCATGGCAACAATTACAGTATCTTTCTGTTTTTGACAGCAAAGTAATTAAGGACAGACAAAAGTTAGCCGTGGAGATTTTAACAGAGTAAAGTAGGAACAAAATTTATCGAGAGTGTGAAGTCAAGTTATGTACCCACATACACTGTAGTGACAAGTGTAATCTGAAAATTTTCCATCTACATCACACGTTCGGAGGATATGACAGTGATTTAGCATATGATTTATGTCAATTATTGTCACTCACCGATGGATTTATCTCGCGGTGGATTATTGATCGTGCAATTATCTATTTTTGGTGGATTAATGATAACCGAATGGACGTCAAATAACGCGGGTTGAATTAAGGAACGACGGATCGAGAAATGAACGGCATTGTTGAACTGATGGGCTTACCTTGAATGATATTCATTAAGGTGAGATCCTCTTGGGACAGTTGTTAGCAAGACGAGCTAGAAAATATGGAACGTGAATGATGAACACTTGCTCCCATGAGGAAATCGCTCAATCATAATTCGTTAAGATCTCACGTACGTGCACTTGGGAATCCACGACTCTCCCAGTGCGCATACTCGATTACAGAAAAGAAATCCCACAGCTTTTGAATGTCAGTTTTTCCAGTGGTGATACAACTTTCAATGTCAGAGAGAGATTTATTTTTTTGGGAATTTCGATTGGAGTGATTGAGCTCCTAATCGATTTTTTTATAGCGATGACCATTCGGGAGTGTTTAATCATTCATTTAATTAATTAAATTTAATTAAACATTAATTTTCATATTTATTGTAGTATATTACAGGTTCAGTCAATTTCAAACCCTATTTTCAGCGCCTTTAGGGATTCAGATGTTAAAATTTGACGATCGCATCGATTAAAACAGATACTCTCAACGGATTACGCGGCAAAGGGATTACGGAATTTGTTGGAATCGAAAAGCACCCGAGCTAATACCGTCTATGCTCAGAATTTTTACACAATACTCAATCTCTAACTTTGAATCATTCACGAATTTACCTATTATTGATTGACGCTAGTTTCAGGGTATTACAAGGAAAAAGAGGTGAAATCTCTCCCGTTCCCGAGAGCTCTAAACATTTAGCAACAAACACGTAGGGTAGAAATTAATTAAACACCAGGGAACCAGTGGACTGGGGATTTGAAGAGCAATGCTGAAATAAAGTCCTCCAGAGGAGTGATTTCTCATTGTACTGGATAATTTACAACATCCAAGTTCGTTCCAGTTAAATATCAATCTTATTTTATTCACTACTGACGATGTGAGGTCACGTTTATCGTCCAATTTCATGAGGTAAAATGAAACTCTCACATCAGCCACTCAATTATTTACATCCACTTTTTTTTTAATTACTCTAAATTCAGACGGGATATCGTTTTTCGACAATATCTGAATACGAATATGAAAATATCTCTGTTTATAATTTAATCACTAGCTCTCCGAGAGGCTATTTAACATCTTCGATGGAAAAAATCACTGAAGCTTCAGTACGTGTCGGTATAACAGATCTTCAAGGAGATTTACTGATTTTTCTCAGTGCATTCAGACTGTTAAAGTGCTTTTAAATCCCTCTCCTTTTCTCTCAATGTTTGAAATTTTTTTCAGCGAGCATTCTGACTTGAACTCGGAAAATTCAACTTCCCTAAGTGTCAGCTCTAGAAAAATCCACGGTAAAACTGTCAATTCTTTTCACGCTACAACATTAAGTCGATTGGAATAAAGAATTTTTAACAAAAAGGTTTTTTTTTGTCGAGCGCCACTCACGTCAGTATGCTGTTTTGAGTTTGAATCGAGAGAATTCACCGAATGTGAATTTTCTTTCGGGAAAATACGGAATTCAATTTCTATTGTTCACATTAGACAGTTACAAATCGTCCCAATTGAATTCCACGGTGAATCAAGTATTGTAATCCAAGTTTGAATGAACAGGAGTGGTGAATGGAGAGGATCTGTTGATTAAACGAACATGATGTACATTCCACAATTATTTTCCCCATAGGTTATCGAAAAAATTAATTAAACCAAAAATTTTGACCAGTTGGGGTATGAAAAGTTTGCTCTGCTCTACTTGACTTTCCACAACCATTAGTACAGAATGAATGTGCGATGGGGTCATACGTTTCACCAGGGATCGTTACGTACACGCGATATTGTCGAATCAATTTCAAGATATATTATAGAGGTATCGTATTTCGAATAAAAAATCCAATTATTGTTTCATTGGAAAATAAATATCAACGGTAAAATACCTGTGCGGCATTGGTATTTGATTTGTTCAATGAAACATTCTCAAATTCTTCGTACATATTCAATACCAATAAAATCCATTTCAATGGTAATATACAAGATTATTTGGAATGGGCGGGAATTTACCGAAACGAAAAATCCACTCGTGAAATCCCGGAATTCCAAAGCCAAATGTGATTATACTATTTTTTTATTGAATATTATTTCTTTATATTTTATTTATTAGTTGGCTTTGGTACACTTAATTATGAATTATTTCCGAATTTCAACCAATACAATCGTTCCATTTAAAATCCTGTCTTGAGTAAGTCTCTAGTAAATTTCACTCCTCTTCACGCATATTTGTGCACATTCCCGAAATAGCGCCAGAGCAAAGAATTTATGGAGCTATCTGAATAAGTCGAGATTTCGATGAAGCTCGAGGTTTCCCTTCTGCCAATTTAAAATTCAATCTCTAAAAAAAATCACCGGTACACCCGATAGACCTTTAATCACAAAATAAAAAATTCCAATATCCACAATGTAACACCACCCGACTTGATACTTGTCCAAATGACACCCAAAAAAAAAAACCGATAAAAAATGTAGAATATATTTGAAACATAAAAATACTAGGGCAATGTTGAAGGTACGTTGATTACCCCGATGGACTAGTGGTACTCATCGTGAGCAATTATGTTGGTGAGCACGATGTAGAGGTTGAAGGCTTTAAAAGTTGTTGAAGGCAGTGAAAAAAAAAAGTCCAGCAACGGAAGCATCAAAAGTACTCTGAAATGTTGAATGAAGCATTATCATTATCTATTTCCTTTTATTTTCTCCCATTGTGTACCGATTGACTATTCCGAATATACGACGAGGGAATAAAATTGTTTTATCGATTGATTCTGTTTTGGCATATGGGATGTAAAAATCATAAGCCTGAGCCAATTCAGCAGATATGACAGCGCATGACATTCACTATTCTCTTTGACACGTCTCACGTTGATGCACTTTCATACTGGTGCATTTATCACCTCTTTGCAGCACTATTTGAATCCTGGATTCTATCCCCCGGAAATGGTCCATTGCCCCAACACCCGACGACGTCACAACACCCAAACAAAGGATAATGATGGAACGAGGAAGAGAGTAATTACTCGATGATGTATGATTTGTTTCAGTGCGCCATAATCAACAGGATGCATTGTAATGTGATATCAATAGTATTTAGCGCCATTGATCAAGATATAATAAGCTATAATACGGGGCAATGAGAAATTACTGTCGTCATATATTTCTCCTATATATGTTTTACACAGTTGACTATTTACTCAATTGCACTGAAAATTTTCAGTTAAATTGAGACAATTCTACTGTTAATCTCAGTGAAGCAGTGGGTAAAGTACAATTAGCGTAACAGTGAGAAAGAAAAATGAGTGACACGTGTCTGGAATTGTCAGAGCCATAAAATTCATTGAATGTAATTCAGGAGAGGCTAGGTTACCGAACTTCTACAGATAGGAGACATAGGTAACTTGAACAATGGAGGCTCTGAGAAGGTGCCCCCGACGATGAGAAACTTCTATCGGACCAATAAAAGCCTCGATACGTGCTTTGCACACTCTCTTGGTCTTCTTGGTGGTATAGAGCTCATTCCTCTTGATGTATTGATTTTGAAATATAGCGGGGGATGGTTTAAGCATCTTTATCTTCGTACTTCTGTATCATTATGGATCTGCAGCCAATTCTTTCGGCGCTTACGACACCATTCACGCGATTATATCATGGGGGGATAATCGCTAGATTCAGGATAGCATTTGATAATAATCGATAGAAAATTAAAACCACAATATAACTTTGAGAGGGGAAAAATGTGTCTTTCCCAGAATTAAACTAATTTATGAGTCATTACTTTTTTTTTTTCAATGCAACTTTGTGATTTGGTATTCAATACGGTGTCTTAAATTTGTAACAAGTGGATGGCCGATGCACTTATGTGGAAACGTGACAATTTCAGGAGTTTCTGATTACTATCAAACTGTTAGTGTCACGTACAGAGGATTTCCGTAATGTGCAACCCAGTGATCTCATGACACTCTGAATTTTGGTAGTATATTACTGGGATAAGAATCACCGTTTGTGGTTGTGAATGAGAAATTCAACTCTAACGACTATCTCCATTGCATTGCTATTCTAAGTATTTGAAGTGTAGGTCAAGGTCGAAGACATCGAGATTCACGAGAAACGCGTGCTCCTAAAGTTCAATGAAGGTTCAAAGTTCAATTTTCCAAGTATGACATGCGATTTCATCATCAATGACGCGTCATATGATGGCGATATACATTATTTGGGGATTTATTTATTTATCTATTTTTCAATAACAATCCTCGCACGTTGAGCGCGGAGATAATCGCGGATTTGTTCACCGAAAAATCCTTAAACTACCGAATATCATAATCCATTTGTTTTTTCATTTTTCAACGCCACTCCTTTTTTATTTAATTCATTTAGTTTTTTTTTTTTTTGGTTTATATGGATGGGGTAATGGCGGAAATGGATTTAACATTTGAAAAATGAATGCGTGCTCTTGAAAGAAATATTATCCCACTGCGTTTCATTTAATGGAAACTGTCTTCAAACGAGATTCGTGACTCTCGTGGAAACAAACTCAATTAAAATGCCACTCAACCGTGGCAATAAGATTTAGATTGTTCTCTGCTTATTTATTCGTTATGTAGACGCTTAAACTCAAGTGAAAATTCGATTACCTTCCAACGAAGATGGAGCGAGAAATGCTATCGTGGGTGGGTTTATTGAAAATGCCCTTTGCAGCAAGAAATCGACACACAAACCTGGAGAATGAGAAAGAAAAATCGAAACGAGTGCAAAAAAATGGAGAAAAGGTTTCCATTTCACTGTCAGTGTCATTGGCAGAGAAAATTTCTTCTCTCCGAAAAATACACTGTCCCGTACCTGAGGCAACTCGATTTTATCCTGAAAATTAAATTATTTCCCAGGGAATTAATTTCAGTTGAGTATAGAAATTTTATTGCGAGAGCGATTGGTGATGTTTCGATTCATCAAAGTCAGAGTCATTGGGTAAAAATCTTAGAGGAACATATCAATTTTTTTGTCAGTAACACATACGGATGTGCGATGTTGTGTTTTATCACCCTTCAGATAACGATGATTGAATTCTCGTGAAGAATTCCTTGAGTGCACTTTCAACTGTCGGTCCCAATTGTTTCAACATCCATTTGGCGGTAGCTGGACAAATGATGATGACTCCGAGAAGGCTGATGGTCAGTGGAGCCAGAAAAGTCCAGATGAGCTTCAAAAAAATTAATTAATCGCACGATTAATTAATTCATTGATTACACAACGCGAGATTCTCATTAAATAAATCTTTAGAATCGCTCACATTTATGAACCAGCTCACTACTATCCACCCAAGAAGCACAGTACCTATTGTGCTGAAATATGATGCATATTCCGGTCGAAGTAGACACTGAAGATACGGCACCTTTTCCCCGAGATCAGCCAGAATAATCTCCATCTGTTTTGCCACATCATGACCGACCATGAAACCAAAAACACTCCACGTTATACCGAATGATTAACGAGAGTTGCACTATCTCGATGAGAGATTCAAAACGGAATCAGCGAAATGTTGTGTCGATTTATCGATGGCGATATGAAATTGGTGAAATGGTGAAATTTTTATTTACATCCGGATTTTTTGAAACGGAAATTCCCTCGATTTTCATTTCCCACTGACCTGCATGGTAGACGTATTTATAAATCAATAATTAATATGCACGTGATTTCACAGTACAAAATTTACAACGAGATTTGGCAGTAATCATTTTATATTACTCTCTGAAAGACAATTAATGCCCATAATCCCTCGTTTGCGACTACGAAAAATTATTAAACATGCAATACTCCCGGAAAAATTCACTACCATCGCTGATGACTCAATCTCAGATTTTATTTCCTGGAGGGAAAAAAAAATTCCGCTGCAATGAGATATCGAGTCGGCGCATAGTGGAGAGGCACGGAAAGTATTAAAGTAGGCAAGAAAATTACATCACGCCGAGGCAAGTGGCACTTTTGCGTGTTCCTTCGCTAAAAACGATAAGATAAAAAAAAATATATATTCCCCTTTGAGCAATTTTTGTTTCAACGCGCTGAGACTAAAATGAGAGTAGAATCTTCGAAGAGGAGAATTAACTCCGAGGAACAATATTGTATACTTACATTCATTATGTTGAGTTTGTGATGGGTTTTCCACGAGAAATTTTCAACTCGAGGTTATCGGCGAGATCGGATGAAAGGACATGTGTCACATCGGGGGATGAACAATCATTGAAGAGTTTGTCATTTTTTTCAATTGAACCACGAGCTTCACGTTGAATGACGTGTCGAGTGATTAAATCATTCTCCCTATTCAATGGTCGCCTCAAAGCAATGACAAGAGGTGAATTAAATTCACCCCCTTCCATTTAAATGACTCCCAGTGTAATCAGTCTCAACGAAAAATTCGGTTAATGCAGAGAGCAAATTTCCAGATGGCAGTCAAACGGAAAAAATCTGGTAGCATGTGATGGACTGGAATTTAATGAAATTTTTGAACTAGTCTTTCCAGAAATGCAGAGAAAGAACAGATTAAAATTTGTCGTGTGATTTTTAATGAATGTGTCGTAATGGACGTTGATAATTTATTTATCTCCGTCAATTTAGTTTGCTTGACAGAAATAAATATCTCGTTAACTCGTCGCATGGTATATTTACCGCTGGTAAACCCGTGACTTACACATGTAAATGAAATTGGCCCGACCAAAATATGTGGGAGAACGGTATGTCAGTTTCCTTTGTTTCATCTAGTGAGAATCTAAAGACTGTGTGGTAGACATAGTTTCCCTAACCAACAGATTCCATTGTCTTGTATAATGAGCAACTGGAATAATTGTACTTGCTCTGCATTGTATAAAAGCCTTCTGAGTCCTTTGAACGAGCATCGTTCGTTGTTTTCAGGACCTTCACAGCATCTCGAAATTATCCCTAAAAGATCCTCATCGTAAATCATCGTACCTTGAACAATATTTCAACAGACTTTTTCATAACGGACAATCGTGTTATGTTAGAGGGAAATCGATTAGACGTAGACAATTGTTGGAGAGTCCCCACTATATTTCGATTTGGGGGAAACGAAATGATAAACATTGGAGGTTCTAAAAAAAAATCGAGGAGCAGAGTGACGAGAATTCTACACCATCCTGACATTCTTCTGAAGTTGATGGAATTTTATTGAGGGATCTCAATACAATTTTAAATGTAAATGCTAAAACACTTGCGGAGGAATCCCTCTAGATTTTAATTAAATAGAAAAATCCTTCCTTACTTTAATTACATTCATCGATAGAACTTGAGGGATCTGGAAGGGCGAGAGAATTTAAAACTTTTTAAAGTACATGGGGAGAACTTTTCTTGGGAAATTTTTCTCTCTAGGAAGGAATAATGGGAAAAATTCTCTTGGTCGATTTCCACGTGGAAATCCGTGAAAATTCCAATTATTCAACGATTTTTTCATTTTAATTTGACAGGATGATTTTAAAATGAAGTTCCAGTGGATAGAAAATTTTTTCTCTCATTTTACAACGATTCATTCTCAATTTAGCCTCATATTTTCGTCCTCTTCTTCGATTTCCTGTGAGAATACAAAACACGTTACATTACCGGACGTAAAATTGTGGGAATAATGCAAGTGCGGATAGAGAATGTACTCGAATCAAATACGCAATATACTGGAATCAGAAATCGGCAATTAGTGTAGCGTATGTATTATTGCGAATTGGTGAAAGAGAATCTCGAATTTCAAAATCCAGATATTCCTGATACCGGAGTATTGTATCTTCGATTGGAGACATTCTCGTTTCCGCATGAGGAATTGATGAATACCGGTATTATTTCCTGATTGGAATTTGCACTGAATTCCTCAAGATGCTCAGTATCAATATTCGTCCTTGTATATGGCACCGCAACTGGTACAATTCCAATTCCAATTTCTGGATTGTAAGACGAAGGGTGCAATGGAAATTCGATGGTGCGATTACCAGCAATTTCCAGTCTGGATTCACTTGGGCACCTGGAGGATATTCTGCTCAGTACCCGACAGGTCATCTGACCACACCCGACGATCGAAGACTGCACCCCAACCATCGGTACAAAATTAACTGTCCCGAGAAGGTAGGTGGCATATTCCCAGGTACATAGACCACCCAACCCTCTTGGAATGTTCATCATCAATATTTTAAAAAATCATTGTTTAAATAAAGCTCAAAATTATACCGGGAGTGAAGGGAAGTGGATTTTCATCCAGAATAAAATTCATTTATTCTCTTGATTGACAGGTGTAATTTGCGTGCGTGTGAAATAGTATATCTCGATTGCGAGTTATCGTTTTAGGACTCGTGGTATATACCTGATATAATCCCACGAGTCTGAAAAATCAAAAAGTACAGATAATTGAAGCTCTCATTGAAAATTCCGATTGAGCGCCACAAATTGCGTTTAAACAAAAAAAAAAAACACCGAATTGCCGTATTTTTTTGAGTGATTCATTTAATTCCCAGGACGATTTTTTTTCCCCGATCCATCTTGTTTTTCCCAGTCCCTGCAACCAACTACGTGATTTGATTCCCTGTAATGAATCCAATCACGTGCAAGAGTGGGTGTCAAACGCAATGTCTCGGTGCTAAATGGCTTTCCCAAAACTCTGATATTTTATACAACAGCCACCGTCAAACGTGATAAAAATAGTACACAAGCTTTTTATTCCCTCCATTCCAGTATGAACGATCTGAATAAACGAATTCTTTGAATGACGCACACGACATGCTGTGAAAGGATCAAATAAACACGCTTTTCCATATATTTCTGGAAAGACTACGCTTTTCATACTTACGCTTATTAATATTCGGCTTTTCTGCAGGAGAAATAGACACACGGGTGGTACGAGAATAAAGCAAAATTCCAGAATTCTTGAAAGGAGAGCGAGAATAGTCAGACATCCTGTGATGGTTATTAATCCAAAAAACGCCCCCACCGCGCCAATTATCTGAATAAAATTCACATAATTATAATATCTTCACAGTGTGACACGTACTCACTTTAATAATAGTCATAATGGAGTTGTCAATCGGGAATGCATAATTCGAGTGGGTGAATGGGGAGTTCAGTCAATATTTAATTTAACAGGTGAGATCCGAATAATAACGAATTGAGTTCCCATGGCAGTACAACTGCACGAGCGATGGCATGAAAATGTCAGGTATTAAATCAGCCAAGGGGAAGCCATTCCCTGGAGACAAATCATGTCTGTCGTTGTAGGCTGGACAAAAAATTGACACTCTACTAGCCACCAACAAATGCGATTGTCTTTTCATTGCCGAAGTGAATCGCTGAATTTTTATTTTTTTTTCTTTTTTGCATCGCTCTCACAGCTACGATAAAGTTGAAAGATCGTACGTGTTGCGATTGTCATTCGGACACGGAGCACGTGCTGTCGCGATGACCCTTGGTACACCAACAAACCACAATAACAGAAGGTGAGAAATGAGAGAATAGTTGGAGAGTGTGGGTGAGACCATAAGTTTTCCAAGCTCTTAGCTGAGGGATCTAAAAGGGCGCATAGAGACAATTTTACTGGACCTCTCTGGGGAATCGTGAGGCTTTTATTATACGGACGAAAGGCTGTAAAAAATATATGATTCGGATTATGGCATGATTCAATTTGTAATTCTATCAAGGCTGAGATATTTATCGTGGGGTCTGGTTCCGTTATCGTCCGAGGAATGACGAGACTTTAACTTTGACTTTAAGTGGAACATGTGGGGAGTCTCAATCAGTTTGAATAGTTTAATGATCAGGATGTGGTCGAAACTCAAATTCACTGGGTTTTAATAAAACACGGTGGAATCCTGGTGATTTATAAGGGAACAGATATTTTATATTCTACTCTATTCTCTTTTGTATTTTCTGGGCCAGTGGCCAAGTTGCTCCCCTTGGGCGTTGATGAACGGGGGTGAAAGCTTTTTAGGAGATGAACTTTTCCTCCCCTTCGGGGGATTCAATTTTTGGGGCTCGTCTCGATACCGGGAAGCTGTTTCAGGGGATTGCGTGACATCTAGTAGATACACCTGGAAAATGTATCTGATCAGAAATGGCCGGCTATGTAGAAATCTGCCTTCATATAAAAAATCTACTTGCCACTCAAAGCAAAAATCAAACCAATTTTTTTTTTGTGAGGGAAATTTTCCTCAGGATAGACCTCCAGTGGAAGGATCGATACCTTTCAAATGTTCTCATGAATAATTATTTCCTTCTCATTTATTACCGAAAACAACAATCGCCTACATTCCTGTGATATAAGTATTCTCTTAAACTACATAAACATCGATAAATATATTCTTTCTCCCTGAAGCCTCCAACATACTCATCTAAATTTAATTCATGTACCAATATACAGTAAATAAACCATTACCCAACGACAATTATCTGATCTCATCTATAAAAATGCATTGAATGCAGAATGAATGGATATAAAAATTATTAAAATTTCTCAGATTTAAACTTTTAAAAAACAAGTGATTTCCTAAATATAATATAAAGAAAAGACTAAGAAATCATGTACAACTGAATACAATGGACTTCAGCCTTTTATCTTAATCGAAATAAAGAAATATCAATAACAGGTGTATATCACGATAAATATTCTTACAACATACGTAGGTATTCGTCATTATTGTCACTAATTGATTTGTAACTCTGTTACTTCTTGCATTAATTAATTATTATCAACGCACTATGGGATTGAAAGATTCTATATAAAAAATATCGATATGAATGCGCAATAAATAACAACGGGATCCCCTCGCATGATCATATCCTCTCATTCAATGGCCCCCACTCATTATTATCCATTTTCTCGAGTTATTGTCTGATTATAAATGTTCACCGATCCTTACAAGCTAAATAATTATCTCAGCAAACACCTGTATCTATCATCATTATATGTTTTTCTCATCAATAGCGTGAGGAATGCATTTGGCGAGAAAATAATCGGACGATACAAAGCCTTTGGAAATTCTATCTCTATAATCCCTAGACAGTATTGACTTTGACAACATTGTACTAAATGTGAAACTGAATCGAATAGGTCGATGCTCTAGGCTCGACAGTTGCAAACCAGTTGCAAACCAGGATCAAACTAGTTATAGAAATTAACATTTGGCATTCTGTCGTCTCAGATCATTCGGTATGACAAGAGTGATAAATGCACCGAAAGCGAGCATGCAGCACAGTGCAATGTTTGCCCAGAAGTCGCCCCAAGTGTTGATCAATGTTCGATAGAGAATGGTCAGGATTATTCCACATATCTGGGTGACAGCATTCAAAAGGCCAGCGGACGTCCCTTCCGGCTCAGGGTAGGTCAATTCGGCAGCGAACTCGAACCCCACGGGCAAGTATCCCGTCATGAAAAATCTTATTAAACCCAAAATTGTATTGCTATTATTACCGCTCTTTGTGAGGTACTGTCAATTGAAATATATTTGATTTACCCGAGGAGTGCAGCTGTCAGATATACTACGATGATTGATCCACAGTCCAGGGTAAAGGTGAATACAATCAATCCCAGGAGGGAGCATACGTAAATGCCCAGAGTTGTTTCCCTTTGAATTAGTGCTCAGTTAATTTTAATTATCAAATTTCTTTTATGGGTTTATCATTCTTTATGGAGTTTGTCATATTTACTTGAATTTGTGAGTTTTGTCGAGGATAACGCCGCAAAAAACTGATCCTGCCATGCCTGCGCACACAATCGACAGGCCGATTCGACCAGCATCCACCTCAGCGTTCTAGAATATTCAATCGATCTCAATTGAATTTGGAAATTCTCGGGAGATAACTACACGAACTATTTATATCGTCTCAGTGCAAATGAAAAAGTTGCGGAAATCGAGGGACGGGTGTGCATTAAAACCAAAATTAATGACCTCAAAGTGATTCAGGATGAGATCATTGAGGAGAGTGCTGATGCCATAGAATATTCCAACGTTAACTCCATAACTGAGGAGTAATAGTAGATAACCTGAGTTCAGGGCGAGTCTCTTGATCGACTGGAAAAAGTTTTCAGATTTGTCGGCTTCTCTCTGGACCGCTTGGGCTGGACTCGGTGGTAGCGGTGGTTCCGCTTTGAAAACTGCATTTTTAACGCAAAAAGTTGTTGTCAAAGTGTTTTGTATTTCTTATAAAAACCTTCAAGTGGTACGTACATAAAATTATGAGCACGAGGATCACGGAACTCGCGCCTGCCACGATGTAGAACATTGTTAAAAGCCCATTTCCCACCGCGGTTTTTGGTACGAGCATAGGTGGAAATAAAAATCCAATGGCAATACCTAGCTGTAATTTTGAAAGATAGAAAATTCATTAATTATCCCTTCAAGGGAATTGCAAAAAAAAAAATTCGAAAATTTGGAAATTATTGTACACGAGGGGCGGAAAAAAAAAATGAAAATTATTGGACAAATTTTATTCATTCCCTTCGTACAAGTGATTCCAACTGTAATTTATTGCACCGTTTATCGTCACTTAGAGCACCACAACCAGTCAAACATTGAACTTAGAACGGTATCCTGTTCCATTATTGTTAATATTACGTTTGAGGGTTACTGCGAGTTATTTGTCTTCGTTAAACATTATTTCGAAATTAATGATAACGATGAGAAATCATTTATGATATTTCCGCACCGGCGACACAAACGAGTGGAGCTTAAGTGGTGCAGTTTAAATTGAATCATTCGCCAGATTAATTCACACGGATAATTTACGATTTCCTGCGATAGAAAATGGGGTCGAATCCCCTTCTATTAATTCTACTTTGTATTAATCGTGAGTTTTTGACGAGCCACCAATTCCCACTTCATTTTTATCACGGTCATTCACATTTTAATTAAATCTGTCCAAAAATCTGTTAATTTCTATCTGTTTCATCATGGCCCTTAATTTTTCAAGAAATCCATCGATAAATGGAAAAATTGTTTTGGTTCTCCCATTGCACTCACCTGATTACCAAAAACACCGATGCTGCAGGCACTGCTGACCTGATCAGGCCCAAACCAAACAGCTGCTAATCTCGATGGTACGGAAAGTATAAATGTTTGACTCAACGCCACAATAGTATGTCCTAGAAAAGTCACCCAGAACAGATCAGGCGATACACTGAATACTTTAATCCATGAGCCTAATGCATTCCCAGTTGCACCTATCAGGGCCGCATTTCTAAGTCCCTGAATGCATTATCAAACAGTGATTGGTTAATTGGTACGATAAAACAATAACACTTACTGGTTAAATCAACTCGAAGTGTTGTCGATAATCTTGGATTAATTCCCCAAATTAAATCCACTGTTATCGAAATTTTTTTATTGATTTGTTTTGAAATTCCTTTTCAGGGTTACTCACAAATTTATCGAGTAGATAACTGGCGGGAAAAATAAAAGGAATGTACGTTATCATGTAGATCATGCTCGTCATATCCACCGCGAAAGACGACACATTGTAATAATCTTGTATAATATTTCCAATAATGCTGAATTGAATCCATTGCATTGCATTGCTTGCACTGTAGAGAACGAAGATAGCGAGAACTAGCCATCGCCGACGATAGATTTTTGTCTCCACTACCTGTGGAACATCATCACGGGAAGATTAAACATTAATTACAAATTGCACGTGGTGTATTGATGTATTCTCAAGACACTCGCTTTCATATTGACTGTCGGTGCGACCGATAAGTTTAACCAGATACGGAGTAATGATAAAAAACTTAAATAATATGTACGCAAACAGCTCTTTATTTCCATAATAAATAATAAAATAGAAACAGTGCTGATATATTTTTTACACAATAATTTCAAATGGAATAATTTATTAAAACATTATGTAATTCTCAATGAAATTTTTTATCGGGGTGATGAAATTACCTGCGTCGGTGGTACACCGCATTCCACGGCTTTGGCGTAATCTGGGGAAGTCCTACCCATTTCCACAGTCTGCTGCATCCAAAGATGATTCAAGAATTTTCCTCTCTCGAATTATATCTACAGTAATATCTTCCACTAAAACACTTCACCTTTGTTTCACTATAATTCTGCAATTAAATGAATCCTCGATTTTATTCAAATGTGTGCTATCGATATATCATTAGCGGTTCACGTGCTGCTCGAGTATTAATTAACGAGGAATGGGCGTAGTCAGTGGAAGTTCGATGAAGAGGAAGCAGAGAGTATCGCTCCTTTGAAATTGCCTCCAAGTGAACTCCTAAGGGCCATCGAGCATTAATTAACCATGAAATACAAAGGAAATTCGATAATCCAGGAGATACGCTAAAAACGAGCATACACTATAGTTTTCCGGAGGGATGAAAATTTTCACGTAATTTATATCGCTGCAAGCCCGTACCTTTTTTTCTTATCGGTGTAGTTGAAACTCTGCTTGCCCAAGGTCCTTCTTTTTTTTCACCAACTTCGCTTTATCTCAAAAAACTAAAAGTGATTTACACCTCAATTTAATTTGACTCGACATTCAACATCAAAGCGACTACTACCTCTTTTATCTCAAATAAAATCGGCGTTTTCCGCCTCTAAAAATTCCCAGAAAGTACAAAGATACTGACGTCATCGCATAAAAATGAAAATAGTATTTACAGAAAAGTATATTTTTATCACGGAATTATGTCGTACTAATTGGAATGGGTGCTTAATGCGAATTCCTCCGAGACAAATGACTCTGGTACCTTTCACTCGTTAAACTAGACTTTTCTCTACATTTTTCTTACATGATTCCATGCATATCCATGAGAAACCACTTCATCCCAAGAACTAACTCGAAACCAAAAATCTTGAGCGCCTTGCATATTCAAGTTGCTCTGACGTCAATGATTGTTATTCTGGATCGATTTCTTGATGACTGCCCAAAATAACTAACTACATTGGGATTAAGGATATGAAACCTTACCCTCAGAAATTCTCTCCTCCGGTCAGGTCACTCGACGGAAATAAATCGACTAAATATGGAATTCATGAAGGAATAATCGGACATACCTTTATTGACGCGAATTTTTTTTCCTCGATTACGCCGAATGATGAGTTTACTCGGTAATCTTGATATTTCTGTCGTATAGGCACAGTTTTCCCCTTCCCTCGATGGGGGGTATCAAAATATTAGCACAAAAAAATATGTCGATGATTTCTTCAACAGCTACTCTAATTGCCCTCCGATAACGAGCATTTTATTATTGTCGATATTGTACTGGTGTAAAGTATGAGGCCGAAGGTCCAATAAACTGGATTTTCTCTATAAATCATGGAATTCCTCGTGGAATCTTTGCTTGCAGTTCTATTCAAAGTTCATTGACTGGACATTTAGTCTATTCATTATATTTAGACACAACTCCACTCGAACACTTACGCGAATACCAAGATGATAGTATAAATTACCAAGTTTCCTCGCAAGTTCACCGGATATCACTGATCCATGTGCTCCCAGAATTACCGCAGTGCAATTAAATTGTCGTGATTAAATACCACGACGATATCATGCATCGATCAATTCCCTCGCTGCAATTATCACCTATTAATATTGGCACTTGAATAAAAATCACTGTTATCACTTTATACTCATTACTGAATCACAAACTGATGTACTTTTTCCTTTTCCATTCACTGTTCACCTTTTTATTACGAAAAATATCCTCGATAGCGATTATTCCAGAGTGGTCCTGCGTTCTGGGAATCTGCGGGCGCGGGAATCGCGCTTGACTGGTTGATTTATGGGTTTCCTTTATAATGTATCGATCGAAAAAATTGCTGATGGGGCCACAGTGGAAAGAAAAAAATTAACGATGGTTGACACTTGACACTTGACTAGGCTGGACAAAATACTGAGGATTGTGGGGGTGGTACGATAGTTGAGAGAATTGTAGAATCGATGGATCAAGGAGAATCAAAAAATGAGACACTTGCTGTAGCAATCGATTGAAAGCACGTGGAGTGTCAAGTGATTTTGATTCAGTTGAATCATGTCTTATTAAGACCCGCTATATATTTGTCTATCATGTATTTTCCCTCTCCAGACTAGTAATTTGTCAGTGATAGCGATTGGGCAATTCGCGGGCCTTCAACAACGTTTAGGATGCGATTCGATGATTCAACTATATGTGGAAATATTGGCCAGAGAACCGCCGAGGTTGGTAGAACAACATCAGCTGAGAGACGACGCGATTCGGTGATATGGCGGGTGTATATAATACCACCACTTGCTTCTGCGCGATAACCACTCGCGCAGTCATATCACACACCAGCACTAATGTACCATTGTAATTGTGAAAATTCAACATTTATTTTATTGTGTTTGGGTGCTCTTCGGGGTACTCGCCGGAAATACCCGAGACAGTTCGATTCAACTGCCTCATGAATTTTTATGTTACCCTTCATTTGGCGAATCAAAAACAGAAAAATATTTTTTTAACGCTATCATAAGAAGAACTTAACAAACTTTCACCTTTTTCTTATATATTAATTTTATGGTAGGACTTGGTTTAATTAATGCGCGAGGAATAATTAGGCGAGATTAATCGCTCATTATTACCCGGATTTTTTTTTAATGTTATCATTTATTGAATTATTTGTGACAAAAGTGGTATCTGGGCTCGAACGCGAATACCTTAGCAGCATCTGAAGTTTAGACTGTTGCAAAATTCATTGGTTTTTTCTTTTGCCATTTCCAATTGGGCCTGGAAATCACGGCATTCCATTCATAGCTTAGATTGGAACTGCTAAGTGTTTGAGGAGGAGTGAAATCACCCCGGGAACTTTGCTTTCCCAAGTGATTTGGGAGTGCTAGAGTGGACCTCATATCGATTTCCATGCACTCGAGTGCACTTGCGATTCGACTGTGTAGAGTCAGTTTAAGAGCTGGAGACTCAAGTCCCGAATAAATAACCACTGGATTCATGACGATTTTTTATTCACTCTCACGCCATTATGAAATCGTATAATTTTTCATGAATTAATCATTGAAATTCAGGAAATGATTTTTTTTCACTTAAACAAAAGAGAAAGAGAAAGTTCTTTGGAGAACACCAATTTTTTTTTACAATCAATAAATCTCGAAATTAAAATATGACTCACGGTTCCTGTTGTCGAAATCTTGAAATCCTCGTTAGGCACTACTTGAAAATGGTAGGTATCCGTCATTTTCTTCGTGTATTAAATTTTTCCATGAATTACACTTGCCACAAAACTCAAACACATGCTCGAAGAAATTCAAGAGAGAATTAAACGCGCACTGGAAAACCACCGAGTGTACAAGTCCGCAGTCATCCAATCTAATGTTTGAATATGATATTTACATTGTATCACGACAAAAACGTGAAGAATAAACTCGTTACACTCTACCAAGTGGATGTTACGGATTCCATTCCAAATTACGTAATAACTTCAATGAGGAGATTCAATAAATCTCTCATCCCTATAAACGAAAATTATTTCATTCAAAAGCAATTACTCCGGAAACATTTGTTCGTGGGAATTCATTTAAAAAATAATGAATTTCATGCGACGTATCGCGTTCCATTTTCGCTCGATGACGAAAAATAGAATCTGTCACTTTTCAGTGCTGATACTGCTTCGGCGAAAGATATCGTAAATAGATAAGGTTCTATCATTCGAGGCATGCACTTCGCTCCATTGTTTATCAGTGTAAAGTTGCCTCCAAGAATACGAAGGCACTCTCAAGGGTGAAAAGTGCACCCTTGACATCATTCACTTGTCAGCTGACATAACAATGCAGAAAATTCTCCAATCCCCATGATGGCGGACTCAAAATTTATCTCCTGATATTTTATGTATGAAAAAATGTAAAGATACCATTGAACAAAAAGATCGGTATCATACAAAAAATATTCTGCGCACGGAGAGACGATATCTTTAAATAAAAAAATTTTTCGTTCTCAAAATTATGAACGATGTCTCGTGAAAATATAAATAAAAAATGATAAATTCATGTTTTTTCGGTTTTATTGAGAATTGATTTTTTGAAGGGCTGTGATATATTCATTTTATTATTCGTCCGATCTATCGCGGGATTTATCCACTCGGATAATGCAGAAATCTGTTGACCGATCGAGGCCCCCCAGCTTGGATTATTGATCTGTGGAGGTCTCATACAGATGTCATATGAATATTTTGAAAATGATAAGGAAAACTCAAAACCAAAAACCATGAGATTTAACTACAGTATTTCCAATTAAATTTTTTGACGTAAAAAAAAGTGGTGATAGAATTATCAGCAGGTTCAGAAAATTGAATTGCGAATTGAATTGCAAATTGAATTCTCGAACTTGATCTCGGCGAGCTCTCTGAAACACTTATAAACAATTCAATTTAATTTCGCGAAAAATTGAAGGAGAATATGTCTGCCACATAATTTCCCAAGAATTCACGGAAAAATAATGTCGATAAGTACTCGATTATTATTCTTTCTCCCTCGTATCTCGTCAAGCGTCGGCGAATTCATCTCACGTTTTTACGACATTTTAATGTAAAAAAAAAAAAATATATGGCATATCGATAAGGTGAAAGCAAAACGGTACACCACTTTGGGTTGCTGTATTAAAGTGGGCCAAGCTTGCATGTGGCAAGATGTTCATTGAGTTTACTCTGCATCCGAGCTCAACCCATATGATTATTCACAATTCGCAATAAACTTCGGGTGCTCATGAATATTTTTGAAGGTTCGCATCCAAAACCCCAAGGCGGTGGAATTCTCTCTCAGATTTATCGAGTGTTGCAAACACCAACTGCCACATGCAAGAGACAACCTGTCGTTGCTAATAATGACAACCTTGGCTGGGTGTCTTGAGTTATCAAGTTATTAGCATCTTAAATCCGCTAAAACAGGCGGAAAATTCGCATATCGAAAAGAGGCGCATTCTCAGGCAAATTGTTTCACGGTAATGCACAATGAACCGGATAATTATTTTCACGAGACATTTAGTGTGCCAGCCGAAAGTGTGTTGGTTGGAGGGTACTTTAGCTACTCGCAACTTTACTTCAGTTGAATCTTATCGTTCTAACAGCAAGCATCCACTGCTCCAGACTCCAGCTATTTTCTCCATCAAGACATCAAAATTACGTGACACCAAATATCAATAGTGAATCTCATTTTTTCCCATTTTTTCCTCCAAATCAAAATCATTAAAACCAGATTTTTTTTTCCATTATTCTAAAGTTGTTTATAAAAATAAAAAGTGACATTAATTTTTCATTAAACCAGAACCTAGATGATGGGATGAATCCCCACGTTCTGTTCACTCCAATAAAATTCCATCACTGTCTCGTTTTATCCAATAAACATCAGGCTTGATAGTGCAGAGATAGTCCTATCATTCGGGAGTATCTTAGTCCAAGACACTAAGTCGACACTCGTGGAAAAAAGTCAGGTATACCACGGACACACCGGTTGTATCGGACAGTCCACCTCGAATGCCGATCGCGATTATACGCCCGTGCAATTCAATGTAAATACCGGGTACACGTGCTAGTACACTATGGGATCGATACAAATGTAAAATACCTGACCGTTAAGTGCACACAATTCTCAACATTTTCTTCGTACTTTTTACCGAAGGGTAAAGAGGATTATCGATGAAAACCAGCGAGATTTATTTTAAAATGATGGTGCCTCCTTCTAGCGTGGGAATCATCGTGGTAGCTTCGGGGATATGTTTATTTTTATTCACCACTTTCCGGAGAGGGTAAGTGAAATAATTAAATTATATTCAATTACTCTTGACGAGTTTATTAAAAATTATACGGAAATTGTTGTTTAATATTTCATTTATTGGCAAGCCAATCAATATTATGTTTTTTTTTTAGAGAGTATTGAATACTCAGTGATCGTTAAAATAAAATTCATTCATTGATTTCATCCCAAAAATTTCATCCCAAAAATTCAGTTCAAAATCGCAATGTGCGGAATTATTATATCTATCGATTAAATATCTGAGATTTCTACAAGTCATTGAGAAAACATTAAAAACAAGTTAGAAAATAGAAACTGTCTCCGGTTTTGAACTTTCTACGATATCTGTTAATGCTCTAGTGCAGATATTAATCTTATCAATGACCTCAAATAGCATTTTCCATTTTCCCCAACGCTGAATCCATAAAATTCCCAATCCGATCACCAGTGACATTAATTTATTATCTCCCGTATCAATTATTCCGGTAGAAACTGAGCATTTCTATAATAATGAGTTTTTACGAGGACAATCATTGATGCGAATACAGATAAGTGGAGAATTGTGAGATTGAGGATGTCAATGCCAATTGCACACGTTACATCAACCCAATTGCGACTCCACCTCGAGATAATAGAAAAATACCTGAATTATTTTTCGAATATTCACTTTCCGTCTGAAAGTTTACCGATGGAGCAGCGTAATTTATCGGTGAGTGGAATTATCGCTCGATACGTGGAAAAATTATGATGGTCCTATTAATTCTTATCGATTTCTTCCCTGGAATTTCAATAAACTAGTGAAATAGATTGGAAACACGAATTTTCAACGGAAAAATCGACCACACCAGCGTGCAGAGGTTAATTAATTCGGGTTGACCTTCCACTGACGGAATGAGATCGTCAATCATAACTGTTATTAATTTCCCGCACGGATGAGAATTACATAGCACGAACTAATGTAATTCCTCAACACGATGTTTATCGGCAATAAATATAAATAATGGATCATCAACACTGGATCATTCTTCGATAGGATCTTCTATTTTTTATTGCGATTTTTATTGACAATTGAGTCTGGACTCCGATTTTATTTCATTCATACAACAAAATAATTACCAAATACCAAAATAATCATAAGATTATTCACTGGAGCATGATAAACAATCAACCGGAATGAGATAACAATTAAAAATAATTTTAAGTAACGAATGTCGACGAGCATCGCGACTCTCACATCAGATACCTTCGGCTAATAAACATGTATATACCCCGATCGTTATCATATTCCCAGACTGGAGATAACGAAGTTTTTAAAGTATTGTTCTCCTCAGTACATAGGCCTCAGCACAAAAAAATCATATAGTTTCTAAGCAAATTGGGTGCTGGATGCTGATGTACGTGGGTCTTAATGAGTGGGAAAACGATGACGCGACAATAGAATGTTTTCAAAGCTTTCTCACTTTACATTTTTAATCCTCAAGTTCTCAATTCAATGTTCTGCCGTTTAAATCCCTCAGGCATTCCTGAGTAATCCTCATTTAATATGTCCCACTGCAAAAGCGATATTTTTTTATTGAAAAAAGTATTTAATTATTCGAGTGATGAATAACTATATTTCGTCAGGCTAAAAAGAGTAAATGTCATGGGCATATTACAAAAGACAAAATTAATGGAGGATTAGATATTCAACAGGATAGCAGTGGAAATGACAAATCACAAAGACTGAAATTATTAAAATGACTCATTCTCGGGACGTCTCATCCATTGATAGATCATTTCCACCGGAAACTGAATTAGTCAACGTACACAAATTACGACGAGAGTTCAATAATCTCCATAGTAAATTAAGATGCGTGCCGCATAGAGACTCTGAAAATGGTAAGGCAAATCAATTGCACAATGACTCCTATAACAATATATATTGAACAATGAATTCCATCGACACACAGCTGTAACGAGGGACCGGAAGCGTAGGTGCCACATGGGGCAGAGGACTCCAGCCATCGACTGACAACTTTCATTGTTGAAATAGCTTGTGAAGTGGACGGTTAAACCAAAAAAAAAAAATAAAACTTGCACCGGTTACCTATAAAATAGTGTCTAAAAAAAATTATACAATTGTACAATTGAAACCATAAAAATCAATCAATTTATTCACCATCGGCTACATGAAATCGCATGGAATAAGGAGAACTCTCCGAGTTTTTTTTCTGAAAACACTACTGTGCCGAGAGGAGAATAGACGGTGAGGTGAAATAATCGTAATTGTTCTATTTCCTTATTCTATTTTTACTTTCAGTATTCTCACAACCATTCTCTTTTACGATAATAGCTGCAACGACTGTATGATAATTGCTGGGTGCGACGCATGAGAGCTGTAAAAAATATCGCAAACTTTTAATTTCTCGATCATCATTCCCCCGTGGAGAAAAAAAAAATGTGCATTTAAAATAACTGTACCGATGACACTGGTACGTCAACATAAATATCGTCGTATTTCGCGTTTAATTCCAAAAGTTTAATAAATTGCGTTGTCGTCATGCTGAATGTGTTTACACGTGCAGTTTTCAATGCCAACTTCAGTCTCGTTGTTTTTTATTATGTACCGACAAATAGAGTGTTTTCATCATTTTTTATTTTGTCCACACAATTTTTTTATTTTCTCGTTTTCACCCAATCCCAATCACGTGAAAACATTTTTTGTGTATTTATTTTTAAAACCACTGGAATTGCAGTCAATGAAGATCACTTTTATAATGATTATTATCATTTGAATTAAATTAAATTATCGTGCGACTTCCGGGAGGAGAAACTGTAGAGAAAAAAATACATGGATTTGTTTCCCACAATTTTCAAAATTATAGTACGCTATCAAATGTTTAATTTTTAATTGTGAGAGAGATATATGGGAAGAGCTGAGGAATCCCCTCTTCCACTATCTCAAACACACAATTCTGTACAAACAAATTTCTTATCGTCGGTGGTGTGAGCTCGATCTCAGTTCAAAATGTCTCGGGAATCGAGATCACCTGATGCATGCAGATCACAATCATCCAGCTATTACAGGTAATAGAAAAATTAATATCGCGAGTGAAAAAGTGTCAAGCACATGATAATCAGTGAAAAAACATGACTGAAAAAATTTTGAATGATATTTAGCCGAAAATAATCCACGAAAATTGAATTTATCCTCAGACAATAAATAATTTGAATAATTAAAAAATTTCTGTGACTGAAATGATAATAATAAATAATAATGTAATAAATTCTGAATATCGGAGACAGCGTGGATCTGCTCTGGTAGATGTAGCAGACGTATCAGCCGATTATTGAGAGGGTATCGGATAAATCGGTGACAATTGGCATTGGCAAAAGCGCAGTCGAAAAATTCAGTGAAAGTAACATATTAAAAGTGCGTTAAACACAACCACAACCGGCGGACCCACTCATGCCAGTCTTATTGCGGCACTGTGACATAAGACCCCACCGGTTTTATATTCTGCGCTATATACCGGTCTCGTAGCTCCTACCACCGAGGTGCCCCGTGGAGGTTTCCCTCTCGGGCCCGCCATCCACTGTCACTTTCAACCTGACGAGCAGACACAAAGGATCGGTTTTACGAGTTTATTAAAATATCACCGGTACCAATACCGATTAATTTGACCGATTAAAAAAAAAACTATCGAATCAGAGAAGAAGAGCAATTGCACTGACCAATGATGCACTTGGACTTGTGACACGTGATGGACTTTTGGAGGATCGGCAGATGGGATGGAAAGTCGTCAGGGTCTACCGGAAGGTAGACAACACTAACCTCAGTAACCGGAAATGTGGATGGCTGGGTCGGTACATTAGTGCATCAGTATTCACCAGGTAGATCCGTTATTCCGGAGAAAGAGTTCTGGAGAATTGAGGTAAACAATGGTGTGGAGAAAAGCAGAAATCGATGGAAAATCGGCGATGAGAGTGTTACGTGTCTTGAGGGCACTTGCAACGATGTTGATTAAATGGCGATAATATTGATAATAAATAAGCCAGTGCAGTGATGTGATGGCGACGCAACTGTGTTATAATTTTAAGTAGTCACAGTACTTCTGGCATGACGGTGATGTAATGAGAAAGATTGCGCACCGAGTGAACGGTGGTTGAATCGACATCATGTTGGAGCAATTGGCATAGTACGTGGATTGAGCAATACCAGTTTTGAGAAAGTTGTATCACTCTGTGAAAACTCTAGTTGATATTTTAGCGAGTGTTAAATTGGGAAAAATGTTTTCATCCTTGAGCTGCTCTTTGTCCACTCTTTTGACGGAGGGCGATCGCTCTGGTGGTCATGACAGACTCAATATGGCAACCTTCATGGTTCTCTTTCTGCTCTTTACTATTGAAGTTGTAATTGTTAAGGTCATCACTTTCGAGATGGAGAACGATGATGAGAGTCGCTTTGGAATTCACTCGGCGTCAATATTTTTTGATCGGGAAGATTAATACTCCGGTGCAACAAGTTTTGCGGAGGATCATCAGTTGATCCTAAAATATATATTGATAATGCGTGAGGTGGAAATACTCAGGGAAAAAATAGAGACTTGGTATCGTTTATATTTTTTTTGTGAGATTGTATTTTGTATGTAATAAATGGTTCACAGCTTTTACTTGAGTGACTTGTCTTTTTAACCGCTTCTCACCTTTTTTTATCAACCAATGTAATTGAATGTTTAATGATATTGGAAAAAAATTCCAGGAAAACCGGAGAGGATAAAAACGAGAAGAAAGTAGCAGGTGATGAAAGCCATTGCGCCTGTTGTCTCAAGCCATTTATCATTGGTCGCGGTTTTCAGTGCAAAGACTGTCGAGCAAGATTCTGCAGAAAAGCCTGTGGACGCTGGGAAGTGAAGGATAACGTTCGACTTTGTCTATTTTGTTATCACAAAAGGTTATTATTACATTCGGTTTAGAGTATTCCGATAACTTCCGCGGCGTGAGAGGAAATTGTAAAAAAATATCCGCGGTATCAATATTTTATTGGTGATAAGAAAATTAATGGAGTTGGATTTGATTAAATAATTGTCAAGGAGAGAATTTATTATTTAATTGAATTCAACATATTTTTGGAATTATGAGAAAATCAGGGATGAGTCGAATATAATGGAGGAAATTTCAATTACTAGAGACCAAGTCATAACTTCAATTGAAGTGGAATTTTTATTTCATTCAATCCACTCATTCTTTTTTAATGGAAATAATTTGAGAATCGATTCAATCAAGAATTCATTGATAAAAATCTATGGGAGTGAATGGGAGTTGATTGAATAGGCAATTAATTAAATTTTCTCGATTGAGATTCTATTTATTTAATTATGACGACACAGTATTTCGTTTTATGACATTTATAGAACGTGGTTCAAGAAAGAAGAAGGGTGGCTTGATAAATTCGGTGGCGCATATCCAGTGGAAAAAACGAACGGTCAATTCATCACGACGAGATCCCGGATTTATGTGACAGGTACGTAATGAGTTTTATTGAATATTTTAAATATTGTGAGACGTGATAAGGAACTCGGTCGAATTTGTAAATATCCCGAGGCGAAAAAAGGTGCATGACGAAATCACAGCTTCCAGTAAACAAATATACCGGAAAAGAACCGAAAATAAATGACCTCCATAATAAATAAACATTCACCCGACATTGGGAAAAAAATTCAACAAATAAATGGGAGTCCGCTGGTAAAAAAAAATTGTAATCGGAATATTTTTTCAAATTTTCGAAATTAAATATCCGAAGAGATCACTCCAAAAAATAACAACGACATAATATTTGACAGCAAATTACCCCTCGATCTAGGAATTCCCCTAGATATCTGGTTCAGTGACTCTGAATTTTATAAAAACCAATGTTCACCGTGCGCACACGTTATTGCACATTGCACATTGTCTATGCTTCATTCCGGTTTACCTTTGCTCGTTCTCCTTGCCAGGATAATTTAATATTACCAACTGAGCCTAACGGTATCAACTTACATGCCGAGTGTATAATATAAAACACAAATTGCTTCATCCATGGGAAAACACCACTGAAACGGGGGATTAATTGCGTAATTGGGGGTAATGTTCCTACCCATCGATTTCTGGTATCAAGGTTACATTTCAGAACAGCCGATAGTTTCCTAATACCGCACATGCCAGGAGGTACTTATGATTTTATCGGCTATCACTGGAGGTACAGCAACGAGCCCCTCCAGGTTAATGGGAAATTTCATGTGTAATTAAGGGGATGGAAAGAGAGTGTGTGATCCTTGGAGCATCACGAGATGATTTAGAACTCTGGAGAAATGATCCTCAGAGATATTGCACTGAGAAAAAATAATCACCCGCCAGAGTTCAATTAAATTTCTTCCATTTTTCAGTTTTGTCTAGATGACAATTCTATCTAGATGGAAAATAGATCAGAAAAATGACTTCTAAATGTACATCTCCGGGACTGTGTCAGTACCGCTAAAAAATTAATTATTTATAGTCAATTGGGGACAATCTGATGCAAAAGGTGTCTCACATCGTAATTGATACGTTCTGGTGGTGGATTGATGATCCATCTCACATTACAAAACACCGAGATTTCCCCCTTTTTCCACCAACTTTTAACTCTCTCGAGCTCCTGGGGACAGTTGATGGCAACCGAGTCGCACTCTTCCCTCACATTTATTGTTCTTGAGCCAAGTTGGAGGTGGTGAACCTCAGTTCTGCTCCAGTACTCTCACGAGCAACATCGCGTCTGTCGTGACTCTTCAGCGTATACGAATACTCCATTGATCCGTTATCCACACATTGCTTCAAGTTCAGAGCCGATCCGATCCGCGTTTCGACGTTTCTCGCCAATAGTTTTGCACAAGCTGCATTATTCTGGCGTAGATATTTTCCCACCCTCGTTTACCCCCGACAACCGAGTGATGAGCGATTCAATCTCATCTCCAAAAATTCATAAAGTTCCGCGGAATGTGATCGTTAATGGATTTTTCCAGTGAAGACATTCATGACAGGTTCGTAATATCTTAGAAATCAGACATTTCTTCTATTACCAATTGCATCTTCCAACCTGTCGGCTTTTCTCCTCTCGTAGAGAAAGCCATACAAATTCCACTTGACACTTCGGATGGAAGTGATGGGCGTTAAGTCCGTTGGATGTTAGTACGTACCGTATTTGACCTCAATTACACCCCACCATCTCTCATTATCATCTACGGATTATTATTCACCCGGAATTTTATGAATTTCACTCTCCTGCATCCCCAAAATAGGGGGAGAAATGTAAAAGTAAATGAACTCACGGGTTTATGGAAATTCCAGGCGTCGAGGATGCTCCGGTCAACCCCGGCCTGGACCTGGCGGCCGGTGGTCATGAGGAGATGGACTCGTTGGAAAAACTTCGTGAGATCATCGAGAAAGTAGTGGAGAACCTTGTTGGCAAGGCTGACGATGCACCTATCGATCGAATCTATCGGCATTCCTCATGTAAGTCGTCATTTTTCGGTAATTCAACACTTGCTGTTTCTCCAATTTCATGTTGCATTTTTATTGTTTCGATGATGATCATAATACGTAAGGTGATTTCGTTGTAATCATAGAAATGTGGGTGGGTAAGCTTTAACGTGACTGGAAAGCGAAAAATGGGGGAGCGTTGGAGATGCTTTTGATGCTGACCGTAAAGTTTACGATGTATAATAAATCCTGATGAAACATGACGATCCTCCTCCTGGGCAGACCAGTTTCTTTACCCCGGCAATCCTCTCGCATTCTTCAGCGACAACTTTTTAGATCGGTTACTACTGCCATCTACCTGTCACACAGACGTTACATTTCTTATCCCATGATAAGGATGAATGCGGAGTGAGAATTTAAGAATGAATGGGATTACGCTGAAATTTGTATTGACTAACTATTGATAATGAAAAAAAAATAGAGATATCTCGAATAAATCGAGAAATTCGAAGGAATAATTTTACCACTTCACTATTGTGATGAACATTCCGGTGCACATGCTGATCTATAAAAAATACATCATTATCACTAACTAAAGAATTTTCACTCACAAGTTAACATAACACTAACTCACTAACACTAATTAACAGGTGATGCGTTTTTTGAGGGGTTCGCGGAGTAGTTATGGATGCGTATTAAAAGTAAGTGCCGTGAAATGGTCTAATAATTTAATAATCACATGTATATTTATGGTGAATCATTGAATGCAATCAACAGTCATTTCAGCAATTTGTGGAGAATTATCTTATGGGATGCATGATTGTGCGCGTTCGGTAATCAAAAGGGTAACGATGTAAATTGGTAACGACCTTCCCACGCCAGGTGAATACAAACAACTTCCAAAGTTCCACGCGATAACATTCTTACATGCTACTTCAAACTGACAACGACAAGCTAAAACTAGAGGTGTAACGGTTTTCTCATACCTTCAATAGTTTTTCCCTCTTTTTGTTATCGTATTTTCTGGAAATTTTAACTCAACGCATATAGCGCATTATCAGTGAGCAATGGTGAGGTGAGGGAATATTCAAATGAATTTCCATCAGTTTTCATTGAAAAACTAGTAGTAGAACAATTGGTACGACATATTTAATAATTATTCAAACATTTTTTAATGCTGTATGTGGAAATTTAATTGGTTTTTATTTCTGGAAATTTATGAATTAAATGTGAGCACTTGATTATTTTTTTAATGGTAATTTGTTTTTAATAATTGTTGAATGCCCATCCACTGAGAAAATTCGCGGTCGTTAAGCCGTTCACCTCGAGCAATGGACGACAAGTATTTCAGGATTATCGACTTGTCTAAGATTTCATTTGATTTTATCCGTTCATTCAACTATCTCTAATGTAAGTTAAATATTATTATTATTGATTGATCCAGTTTAATGCGTTAGAAAGTTAAAGTAAATGTTGTATTTTCATCGAATTGTCCTTCTCTTTCTTCTCAAGTTGTTCAGATTTTTTTATGATATCGCCAGTCATGATGCTGTATCATGATTCCAATTTCTGGCATTCCGATACTAAATATTTTCATGTCGTACCCCGGATTAATCTCGGAGAACTTTCGCTCATGTTTTTTTTATTCTCTGTCCGACAGTTTTAACAATTTATTTGAATGGAAATTTATGAATGAAATTTTTAGACTCGAGTTGGAGATATTCATAATTATAATAAGCTGCTGAGGAAGGTCATATGTCGTATGTACTCTTTACGTATATAGAATGAATAAATATAGACAGAGGCAGAAGTATTCTTTGACGTAAAAAGGAAAAGAGGAATTTATGGTAGAATCTCATTGTTACCTTTATTTACACAGGTAATCCTATTTTCTTTCCTCAAGGCAAGATGAGAAAAACTCGGTTGAGTTACATATTTCAATTTTCTTGTGTAAATAAATACGATTTCCCCTTACCGGATTTATTTTATTTTTCTTTCATCATTCATTGGAAATGAGAAGTTGTAAATTCGCAAATGTCAACGAAATTGGAGACGTATCAAATTCATTTGATATCTCTTGCAAACTGCGCCGCATTGCTCGTTATATCAGCGCAAATTTCAAAGACAATCGCAGGTTATGGGAGAAAATGTAATTCATTGAGTGCAGTAAATGGTAGATAGCTGCAATAAGGCAAGAAAATTGACGGTAATATGCATTGAATCAATTGAGTTATCCATACGTAATTTCTAGGTTTTTTTCTATCGTCAGGTTACCTGGTTACGAAACTCGTGAACTTTACCTTGGACGTTCGAATTTCAAAGATGCATTTCCTTGTTGATATTATTTTTCCAATGTCAAATCAGCGCTTGACGTAATACACGTTTTATCACCAAAAAAATAAACCGTGAATCTTATGTACATCGCAGGATTATTCTTAAGTCATGGAGTATTTGATGATAATTGATATCAGTGAATTCTCTAAAAATCTAGTGACGTAATTTACTGTATTCATCACATCGTGGGAAATGCGATATTTTACGCACTCAGTGTCACGAAAAATGACGCCCAACACTCGAGGAAAAAATTCTCTTTAAGAAATAATAACACATAATCCATTAAATTTTTCCTGGGTAATATACGTCTGGATAATTGACACCTATTCGTCAGACCCGAATCAATTTTTTAAAAGTTCCAAAAATGCAAATAAAAATGACGAAATGCCGAGAAAAAAATTCCTTTCAGAAGAATTTCTGTGAAAAAAAAAAATCCTCAACCAGATTTAATTGAATATTCATTCCCACGTGAATTCGGTGGTATGACCAGTGGTTATTGAACAAATCCAAGAAAAAATAAATAAATGAGGTAAAAAAACCAAGTGTCGAGGAGAAATGTCCCCCACTGGAGTAGATGAATCCGTAGAAGAGTCGTATGTGGGGTATTCGACGACGTTGCCTGGCATATCAGGAGGGCCTCAGCGTTTTGCCCAGTCTCAGTCGAGACCCCGAACTGCGATTACGTATGTGAATTTAGCTCGTGGTACAGTATCCGGTAATTTCCGGAATGTCCTAATCTCCCAGAAAGTGAATCCCCATTCTAATTAAAAAATTATTACGAAATCACACGGATGCGTTATAGATCCTCAATTATGGCGCACACGATTCACAACACCTTATCGTCGATAACTGATTGAACCTGATGTGTTTCCCTCTTACATTACGTGTTTACATTGTGAATCCACTTGTTTGTCATGTTCCACCGGCAGTTAGTGTGAGTGCGTCGATAATCAGTGGATAATTACGCGAATAATCATCGATTACTCCGTCGAATAATATGACAACTGTAAACCCAGTGGAAACACATGTGCAATAATAAGTTTATTAAATATTCAATCAACGACAAATGGTATTTTATGAAAACATAATGTAATCACTGGCGTAGGAAAATCTTTATCCGGATAATCAATAATCTCGACAGAGATCTTGAGCGCATGAGGATTGAGTAAAAAGATGGGAATGACGGGATAATAATTCATGTCGAGTACGAAACCTTGAACTCGATGGAATCAAGTGCTCTTCGCTCAGTTTGAATTATAATAATGCTTTTCATTCTGGAGATAAAAAGTGTCGTTACATATTCCGTACGACTGACCTTTGTCACAGCTTGCGTAATTCTGAGACTTTCAAAATAGAATCGCGTGGTGAACACCGAATTCAATTGATTGATGATCGATTCATTGATGTCTGTACTTTATTAACAGAAAAATAGACTGGCACCTTGAACTCTTTGAATCGCTGCGGGCGCTAATTGAACGGGAACTTTGAACGAGGAATCTCACGAAAACTCCGTTATACTGTTTCATTGCTCGCACGTGACGAAAATCACCAACAAATACCATAGAAGATACACCTGCAGTCACGCATCATTTCAGAATGGATAAAAAAAAAAAGATTTCTGTTGAATCGAATTTTTAGAATGTCATGGGAGCACTGAGTCATCCGATTGATCAGCAAGATTCTCGTTTTTATATCGACCGGATGTACATATCTGTGTAAATAATTTTCTCGTGACTGAAAATATTTATTATTGACAAATCGGAATTGATGTCTTTCATCTTCCGCGTTTCCAATCGTGACAAAGACTTTTAGAGATAAATAGGCAACGATGCCGTTGCGTAGTCGAGATAATGCTTTAAATTACTGATAAAAGCCGCAGATGTCAATTTTACCTACAATTCTAGTACATAACTGTTATGTTTCGGTTTGAAAATTATAGAAGGCGGAGATTATTAGTTTTTCGGATAACATGTTCATCATTTCAGTGATAACAATTCTTGTGATATCTCTATTTTTTTCTACTTTTTAAATTAAATTTTCAACTGACACGAATAATTCTCATCGAATGAAAGGCATTTTCTCTCTTCTCCCCATCTTTTTTTAATTAATATCGCAGGTTACCAGTGTTAGAAGAAAGTGGATTAATAGTATTTTTAATTCGAGAATTCCTTTTTGCGTGCAGATTGACATTATTTGTGCCAGAATAATACATTTTCCGGTGTTGAATGAGAAAAAGTTGAATGAAATACGTGTGAAACTAATGATGCCTCGAATTATTTAGAAATCAGTGTCAATTGTACTTCAGTGGAGTTATACAATGCACAGAAACAGTTCATTACACGTTTTCATTATATGAAGTTATGTGAAATTACGTGTTCCGCATGTTACTGCAACTGATCCGAGAGATGCTGACGCTCATTGGCGGTCTCATTGTCTTCTACTTCATCTACATATTTTTCACCCGGAAAAATGGTAATGGAAATGGAGATAGCTCCACTATAACGTCAATTGAAATCAATTGATTCACCTAAGAACTCGGGAGTTAATTAAAATGTTAGGTGCTACTATTTTAATAAGCACGAATTCCTCAGTGCGAAAATTACTCAACTCCGAAATTACCAAGCAAATGAATTCTCACTCGTGGATTTTTGTCATTACGCTTGTACTGTTAAAACTTTAATTCAGATATTTAACAGCATTCCATGGGAGATTGCCTTCCACCTCTGACAAATACCACAATGAGAGAAGATCTAATTATTCCGGACGTTCAATTAGTACCCACGAGAGGGTTTAAGTCGCTGGTTAATTGGAGAATGGGAATTTCATGAAAGCCAGGAAGACGTGTTTACCGGTGTGCACATCTTCTCGACTTGCTGATAGTCTCTTCCGGTTGATAATCTTGAGTATCAACTGTTGACTTAAAATTTAAACTTGTAACTCCCTACATTAAATTCATGAAATTACACGTAAAGACCTAAAATTGAAAGCTCAGGCACAAATTGTGAATAAAATTTAATTGAAATTGAACTCCCTGCATGCACCTCACACCAAATATCTCCTTCACCTTCTGCAAGCACCTGAGTTAGAAAGTCCGATAGACATATCCGCAAATGCATCATGTCATTGTCGCAAAACGCACGCAAGTTGAAAACAATTATCTCCTGCTAATGGCTTGGGAAAATACCTAGACCCTCCTACAGATACCATCCTCGTTGAAGCCTAGAAAGTGCATCGGTAATGACAAAAAGAAAATAAACTGGTCAACGTGGCCCTGAATTTCACCTTGCAACATCACTGGAGAATGCAATCACTGAGGTCCATGGGAAATATTGAAAAATTTTGAGCTCCAGGAATTCGGTCACCGATTGAACTTGTTCTGCTCGAATCCCCGGGACCACCCGAATTAACACACATGCACGTGTTTAAAGAGTTCATGAGGTCACTAGCCTCGGAATTTCACCGGTTGCCGGTTGCACAGCAATGGAAAAAAGGCCGACAAGGCCGCCAAGGAGAAATTACGCGACTTCTACGTGTACTGACCCATAACCGGTCAACACTTGACGATCCACTGCCAGATGAAAGTGGCCATTTCTGTTTGGCTATTTCTCATTCACTCTGCAAATCGAATATACCATTCACCCAAAAAAAAAATCAATCACGTCCAAAACTCTTTTACTTTCATCTCTAATTTACATTCGATTTACATTAAATCTGCGCGCATTAATTTCAACACCGCTCTCTCAACCTCACACCAAATCATTGCTGCCCTAAATAAATAAACCAATTACGGCTCTAATGAATACACCAAACACCGTGAGAGAATGAAACAGCTGGAACTGCAAGGAATTAACATTTTATAATTCATTGAATCGTCATAATTCGCGGATGAAATAAAAATAATGGAGAAGGAAACGGGGAATTATTCAAAATAAAATTACGATGACATTATTGCATAGATAAATAAAGCAATCGAAAAATGAAAATCCCAGAAAAACGAGTCCTAGTAATTACTGTGAGAAAATAAAGCTGATTATCCAAGGGGATTAATTTTTATTCCCCTGGGAAGCTAATGATTTTTCCCACCACCTATTTCCAGAGCTCTCACTGGAATCGATTCGACTAATGCAATTCTTTGACTATCATACCGTTTTCAGACAAACCGGCCGCAGACACGCCGAGTATGGCGCATTCTGCACTTCGAGAACTAGTGGAGCGTGCGGTCGACGAGGCACGTAAACTACCGATTCTCGGTGATTCCATGACCACTAGGATACAAGACAACACGAGCACCGATGAACAAACCTACGAGGACTTGCTAGCAACAGCTATACTCAACAAAGTAACGCATCTCGATTCTCTCATTTATTTATGACGACGATATTCATGGAGAACCGTTGGTTTCACTTATTTCCAGGTCGTGCAGAAATGCCAGAAAGCTCGAGTCGATGGTAACAGCAATGTCCTACATGAAGCACCATCGAAATCATGTAGACACCGAGGTGAGTCAATTATTCATTATGAAACAGGGATTATTATGTCTCCAAGTCCATCCTAATTACTGTAATCCTCGGAATAATTATTCAAGGATTTGGGGCGAGTGCGGTGGACGATAGCAGTTTGGATCCCATGTCTCAGGATGAGGCCTGCAGTGACTCCAGTCGGACGAAAATTCGGGTTCATCATGAGCCTCTTTCACTCACGGTAATAAATAATCCATCTTATTTTATTGGAGAAAAATAGCGGTGTTCACCGAGCGGTAAAGTGAGATTTATCGGGCGCACCGGTGTGGATAAACGGTTCATGAATTCAATGAATACGGCAACAATTAATGATTCATTATCGGTTGGTGAAGAATGGCTTTGTTACGGAGATCATTCTCAATTCAATACTCTATTTTTCATCGGTCGAATAGGCCATTTCATTTTTTTAACGTCAATACCATCAACGATGTACCACATCGATTATTCTATTTATTTTCAATGGAATTCTTCACTTATGATATGATGCCTTAAATATTCTTAAACCTTGTATATTTTTAAATTCTTGTCACTCACGTGGGTGATGCTGGGCTGGATATCTGACCGTTCCATTTTCACCGACTTCATCAATTTTTATAACTCAATAAAAAATTGTGATGAAAGATTTTTGGTCTGATGGATAATATTTCGGGAAGCTCTTCGGTTAGGAGACGAGGAGATTCACTCTAATTGAATGAATAAATAAAAATAAATAACGAAGATGAAACTGAGACCTTCAAGTCTTTGGAGCCAATACTGCAACCAGGAGTAATGAGAATATAAAGCGGAGACCCTCGTAAGGCTTGAACATAATTACAGAAAAATAAAGAGAACACTGAGACAAGAGGAATTGTCGACATCCTATTGTCAATCTCATTTTTTAAATACCTTTTACGTAATTTTCCGAGTTTTTTTCGTACCCGACGGAAGGAAATCATGCATCAGATTGCAAGAGTCCATTCCCTTGGCGTGATGCAATGGATAATAGTGTCCCAATAATGGGCAATGCCAATTAAATCTGAAAAACCCCTGATGATTCTGTTTTATTGATGAGTCCGCTTCTAGAAGGTATTGAAAATTGATGCTTACCTGGCAAATTCATGAGAATTCTACTACGCACCGTGTTTTCAGTTTTATTTTCGATTAGCGAGGTGACAACGCGAGTTATTCCACTTCGACGGAATCATGTCGTGGAATTATCAGTATTTCAGTATAATTGTATTCTCATTTTCGCATCTAATTTTAAATTTAATCAGAGTACGGATTCCAAACTCTTGGAAATTATTGGTATTCGAAATTATTCATTTTCAGATCGAGGAACAGATTGAGGAAGTAACAACGACTTACACATCCGACGATGAGCCGAGAAATGTCAAGGCGAATGTACTTCATTTCCGGAATGCCAAACGCGTGCCATTTCCGGAATACGGAATGGATATTGTGGATCGTAAGTTTACGACGGAGTGCATAAAATGTATATACCCGTGATATCTAAGCAAGAGAATTCTTGCGATGAAATGAAGTCCGTAAAATCGTATTCTCTTACTTCATCTCATCACAAAATTCTTTTATTCTCTTTTAATTTTCCTCGTCTAACACGGAACACGAGGATCTGTCGATAAATATCAACTCTGTTAATTAAACCAAAGGATTTATTATCCCAGCCTCTCAGGAATCATCAGACAGCGAAGATGAAATCGATGCCTGTGTTTCTGTCAGCCACGTAACGCCCTTAGAGACTTGGGAAGAAAATTGGCTTTTCCAGAGGAAGAAAATTGCTGCTCAACCTGAACCTGTTGCCATGCTTGTACCCAATCCCAGTGAGGATTATCGAGCTCTAATTGGGGACAAAGATGCAGATGACATGTCAGATTTATCAGAATTCTCAGCACAATCAGATGAGGAGGTAGATGAGGATTTGGTAGAGGCCATTAATAAGGCTGTACCAGCCTCACCGAACGTTGGGCGAGTTCCTCTGGGAGTTCATAAAACCAAATCATCAATTCTCCACGATAATTTCACCGGTGAAATTGTGTGTGAGAATTCTAATGACGTAGGGTCCCCCGATAAACCCTCCCCGGGGACGAAAATTGAATCGGAAATTGTGAAGAAAGAGGAGAAGCCCGAAAATATTATTTATTTCAAAACCAATAATGCGGAGATTGAAAATAACTTCGAGAATACTCTCGGAGATGATACATCGAAAAATGAGGATATTAAAGAGGACGATAAAAATTATATCCCCAAGACACCAGTAGCTACACCAATCAGGTTCTCTCTCAGCGAGAGTGATTCAGTGTCACTGATTGCCTGTGATTTACAGGAATTGAATGAAAAACTCATTGCAATTCACGATAGTGAGAGCGATGAAGATGTTGATCGTGTTGGTTGTCTTTTACCGGAAGTTGAGAGACAGCAACCCGAAGAATCGGGGCAATTAATACCTGAAGCTGTAGATCGTGAAAAAAATTTCAACCATACTCCGTACGTTCTTATCACTCATTTCTCTAATTTCATTTGTCATTTCTAGATGCGTTTTGACAGTTTATTTTTGTAGCCCACACTTTATTTTTATGCGGTTATTTTTTTTTATCCTCAACATTCCACTGTGTAGAGCGTGTCAGGCGGCTGCAGCAGCTGCCAAGGCCGGAATATCCTCATCCATGGAGACAAAATCAAATGGAGAAGACCCTGAACTGTCTGCCCCACCCCGACCAGGTAACCAATCTTGTCTGATCGCTTTTTTTTTTCGTCATTCTCATATTCATGAAACTGCGATGTCAACGGAGAGATTATCAGCTAAAAAAATTGCTTGGATTATCTTCACTGGATTTTTTTTTTATTGGACAGGGAGTATTGCGGAGCGTGAACATAAAAAATGGGAGAATGCAGCACCTCTTCAGAATAATCCATACAGCGAGGAGAATATTCAGAAGAGATTGCTGGAGAGACAGTACGCCAGGAGATCATCGGATGTTCGAGGGTAAATCGATGATTTTGCCGTTGCCAATTTGAAGGATGTCGTATTTTATTTAGTCATGTTTTGATTTTATTCTCCCTCTCAGCTCTGGAGCCCTGTCTAGTAGTCCCAGTCCACCATTGAAAATCATTTTGGGAGGCAATCGACCGGACGTCCAAAGGTGGAGGATTTTTTATTCAAAATCAAATTTTTTTTCAACCAACGGATTTAACTGACATGTGTCCCAAAATCTCTTGTTGAATTTAGATTTGCAAGGGACTACTACATAAATGAGGCGAAATCCCCAACAGGTGAGCGATATCGACGACCTGGTACATCAAATTCGAGCAGACCTAGCAGCTCTCTGTCCCAGAACTCGGCCTCGACCAGCAGCGATTACGATCACCAGGTGAGTCAACGACTTGAACAATTTGAAGAAGCTTCCCTCCGTGGTAGTTTACACAGGTCGACTTATCGTGGCCCAAATACAAGTTCAGATTTCGTTATCAATCCTCTGGTACACTTGGATCCCTGCGTCAACCATCGACCAACAGCAGATAATTCCTCAATATTAACAGCGGCATCAGTCTTGAATGATGCAAATAATTTCGCCTTTGACATCAGAAGCTTTGAACTTATGTCCGATAATCGAGAAACATTTCGTGGTAATGTGGCTTCTCTGGCTTCTTGTACAAGCATGTACAATCCAATTTACGAAGGTAATGATCATTCATGCCCGACGAGCACAGGTCCTGATTGGGACTCGGGGATGTTTTCAATGGAAAGTCAATCCGATAAAAATAGGCACGACCTATCCTCCAGGCTCAGCTGGTCTGGCAATTCAACTCTCAATCAAGACTACTGGATCCTTGATGCCCATAAATTCCAAACATTTGGAGGTATAAAAAGAAAACGAACGAGACATCGATTCGACGAATTATTCGAAGACCTCGATGACTATAATTCACCAAATGAACGAAATGAAGATACAAACGTTGATTTCTCTAAATTCACGTTCCAGTCATTCGGTGGGATTAAACGAGTTACCAAGTTTGATAAGAGCGGTATCGGGTCTTATCGAAAGCCAAAAGTCAAATCACCAAGGGATAATCGTCTGTCGGCCATTTCCTGGAAATCTAGTCGAGGTGATTTCCACGACAGGGGAAAATTGATCGATGAGTCAATGAAAGGGGAAACATTCGACGCGGATCAATGTCTGCGTCTCGAACCGCCGTTGGTTCCAAAAATTATTGACAGGAATTACACTAGTCTTATAGATCTGAGGAGGAGCTCGCCTGCAAGGAGGAAATCATCAATTAAAAAATAATTCAGTCCCGAAATGATTTAGTCATGGAAAAATAATTATTCCCACTAATATTTCTGGATGGCCTTTATCCTTGTAAATATTAGATTATTATAAATAACTGGATTTGAAGTTATGATTCTAAACAGTAGAGTAGAAATAATCAATTGAATGAATTCTCATGCCGTAGCAATAATTGAACGTAATACTAGATATTCGTATTACCTCTGCAGTAGATACTCTTTTCTATTCTGTAATGCAACTTCTAGTTTTTTCAACTTGTATATAAACACTAATTATTATTCAATCAGTTCTCTCTAATAAACCTCGTTGTTGATATTATTCTGTTAAAAATTTTTAGTGAATTCCTCATTACTCTATTATTAGCACACAATGCATGAGAACACGCACAAATATTACGACTGGTAAGTACTGCGACCAGACGTCGTTAAACTACTCTACACTAACAAATTAAAATTTGACCGCTGGAAAAATAAAGGAGTGAATGCAACACATCGTCATATGGGTGCATAATAAATCTATGAACAATTGCACGCATTTACGCTTCTCCAACTGATTGTGATAGTCTTATCATTAGATTTGTTTATCATTACGCATGTACACTAGAGTCCTGTTATGGTCGCAATTTCTCCGCAATTTAATTTTTCGCGCATTTTTCAGTAACTTTAACGGGATTTTCCTTTATCACGAAATCGAGAAATTAATTTTTATTTATACTAATGATTTTTTTTTTCACCGTTGTTTTAACATGGGGCTCGGAATAATTGTGATCGCCAATACTTTCGACTGAAAATTTCATTTATGTGTGTTTTAGGAGTCCTTTGAGTTGATCGAGACAACAAAATCACAGAATAATCTAGAGGCCGAGCCCCAAGTGATTGAGGAAATTCTTGAGCGAGAGCGCAAGAACAGCAAAAACGAAATCAACGCGAAGTTGAATAATCAGGGAAACTTCGACTCTCCTATATTCGAGGGTAAACAATCATTCACTGATGATAATAACCGAAAAATTCGGCGAATCGATCTGAGAGCATATGGTTTTGCGAATCAATTCGACGCGAGTAATGAGTGTAAAAGAAAAACTCCCAGAGTTGTAAATAAATTGGATTTACGATCGTACGGATACGACTCAGGTCTTCGCAGAACTCAATCAAATAATCACATCGACAGCAAAGTGAACAATAGCTTTGTTCATATAAAACGGAAGAACGATAGAATCGTTGGTAAATCGAATTTAACTCAAAGTCAGTCAATGAGACTGGGAGGTGGTGATTACATTTGGATTCAGAGTAGTGAGGACCTGAACAAGAAGGAAATGATGTTCGATAATCTCGGGGGGATAACATCAGCCAAATCAGTTCCAAATATCGCGAGAATTTCTTCCTACACTTATAACGGGAATAAAATCGGCCCTGACGATGAGACTCATCCACCACAAAATACAAACGGTTCCTCGAATAGAGTCGACAGTTGTGATTCGGATTCACAAAATTCTAGAACTGAATCAGCCGATGAAATGCCGAGGAACCTTCCAATATCGAAAGAGATGAGATACTCACTGGAGTCTCTGGAGGGGCCTGATCGATTCATCGATGCATTGCCGATGCCTTCGGTCAGAAGATTAGCGCAAACGTTTAATGCATCCCCTGAAGTGAAACCTACCCCAGTACCGAGGGTGAATAAAGCTGTCATACGAGATCGTCCCACTACTCCAGAAATTCACATCATAAAGAGCCCCAGGCAAATGCACAGTTTAACAGCGAGATCTTTGTCTAGAGAATTTCGGGAGGGCTTGAAGAACATTTCGTGCAAACCCAATGCGCAGCCTGTGTATAGCACTATTATCGAGCAGAGTAGAATCCCAGCGGGATCGACAATCTCCAAGATATCGGAAGACAACAAGAAAATTATTACATCCGGTAATTTGAGGAATAATATTCAATTCTGGGAGCAATTGCAGAGGAAACCTTGAGGACTTGAATTGTTGGTTGAAGGCTCAATTTTATGAAATGATCATTGCCGATCATTGTATAGATATATTTCACGAAAAATTATTCATTACGCGTAACAAGAGAATGCAAACACAACTGAAACTGCCATAACTTAATCTTAATTCCACAACTAATCTTCGTAGGTATTGATAGGTATTGATAATTATTTTCCTCTTCTGATGTTATTTGATGATAAAGAAGTGAAGGGTGTGGGAGAATAATCGTGGCGGTGATTAAATTGCCATGGCGTCATGTTCTGATAAATTATTTATGCCCCATCAACCTCACCGTGACATTTTAATCAATGCCATTAATATTTCCTCAATACACCTCCACGCTCTTATCATATGTACTTATTTTTTTCGGCTCGGGAGCTTAATTGATTTCACTCACCTATTTCTCAAAAATAATTATTTTTCAATGAGAAAATTCTTATTCTGTGCCAAAGGACACGTCGGTGTCACCATCCAAAGAAAAATGAAATTGTTTTGCATAATTTATCATTAGGTTTTTATATTATTTATAAATAAATTACTGTTGGAATATGAGAAAAAATTGTTATTCATCCATATATTTTTTCGTACATAAAAAATTTGATAAAAAGTTTAATTGTGTGTATACATAGTAAATATTCATATGCGATGTTGGAACATTGTGACAATATTTTTAGAGCTAAATTTTCAAAGTTTAAACATTGTAATTGCTTGTTGTTTATTGTATTAAATTACTCGTTCTACATCGATACTTTCAACCTATGTAAAAAATGGAATAGAATTGAAGTAAACATAGAGGTATTGTTTGCCTAAAATTATTGATCCCATACAATCTACAGTATTAAACAATTGAGTATCATTCAGAGGACCAGAAGAATGTTGTTCCCATCGTAATTAATAATTCATCAGTAATAAATCGTTCTGATACGATGGAATGGATGATGATGCAACTTTTGGGCATTTCTTCGTCTGTAATCCCACAAGAAGTGATCAACGATGATGGAATTACAACTGAATGGATTTATATTCAAATTGGGATCTTGTTTAATTAGCGTACGAACTCGTTCGACAACTCGTTCCACTATTTCAATTGAGCAGCCACGAATCTCTACCTCGTATGGACATCCTTCCGTCAATTCTGTGCCTT